CCCGTGATAGGGCTGGGATTCAAAACATGTCCGTAAGTTTGACGACACTTTCTCACTCATGAGAGACACGTAGGTGAAAATGAAACGAGGGTATGTGTTCTTCAGAGATGAGAGAGAAATACGCAAGTACTAGATGTTATTGTTATGTTAAAAACAGGGCTGTGCGCCCCGGAAAGTTCTCTGCGGGGCCCCTGGTTGCAGGGGGCATGGACGGAGGACACCTGGAGTGCTGGGGCGCCCGTGAGGACAGGCCCGGCAAAGGGGGGACGGGGAGCCTCTTGGGAGAACAGGGGAGGCGACCCTACTGGGCGTCCCGGGAAGCCTGGACGCAGACAGCCAAGCCACACCCACGTCAGCAAAGCCTTCAGGTCTCACGCTGTGCTGTGTGCGGGAGTCAGCCTCAGCCGCGGCAGAGCCATGGGCTGGATGTTTTTATGGACGTCCACACACGGCTGAGGCCATAGGGTGCTCAGCGCTGGCACAGGACGAGGAGACCCTCGAGTGTGTTCTCAGCTCCCTGACCTGCTTGTCTGGCTGGGTGCCAGCCTAAGCCCCAGTCACGTCTGCACCTGTTGACGCCCATCTCCATGTGGCTGCATGCGGCCAGAGAAAGCCACAGGCTTGACAACCAAGTCCCTCTGTAAATGCGTGACTGTACTCAGCTCTACTCTTCAAGTCACACGCAGAAGCTGGCTACTCCTCCCCACCCTCATCGTTAGCGCCCCTGTCCCTGAGTCCCGGTCACCTCTGGCATGCATAACTGCAAAGCCTCCTAACTGGGGTGTTTTGATCCTTATTCCTCCCCCAGTCTGTTCTCAACACACAGCCGGGGCAACCTTTTAATTATTTGGGAGTCATGTCCCGTTACCCCTCTGCTCCAAACCCACCAATGGCTTTGCATTTCAGAGTAAAAGCCAGAACCTGCACAACGGCCTTCAAAACCCAGTCTGCTTCCTTCCCTCCCACCTGCTGCCTGTGCCCTCAGCTGTGGCCGCTCCCTTCTCCTTGCTCTGCTCAGCCACCTGGCCTCCTTGCTGTTCTCTGAACCTCCGTGACACCCCTGCTGGGAACGCTCCTGCCCCAGACGCCTGCAGAGCTTGCCCCCTGGTTTGCTCCGGGCCTCGACTCGTGTTGCCCCTGCAGCGATGCCTCGTGGAACCCCCCCCCCCCCCTTTCCATACAGGAAAGAGCAGGGCTTTGTGTGCCCTGGTCACTGCTGTATCTCCACGCCCACCACGCGGTGACAGACGCTGCGGTGGGCCACCCAGGCCCCCGGGCCGTCTGAGGCCCTGGCTTGTCCGCTGCTGGGAGTGTGGATGGCCAAGTCTCTCTGCAGCTTTCCGCGGGACAGCTGCCTCAGTCAAGTTCATGGCCCTCCACCCCCGACCGACCACTGGGGGAGAATGAATGCCCAGCCCCCTTGCCTTGACCTGCGGGGCCCTGAAGGGCCAGCCCAGCCCGAGCTGCCTGTAGGACTGACCAAGGTCTCCGCTGCAACTGGGTCGAAGCCCAGCGCTCCCTCTACCCATCCTGCTTGCTTCACTCACTTGCAGGGGCACCGCCTCGGTGAACTTCCTGCACGCGCCCCTTCATTTCAGCATTTCCTAACCTGACGCCGTGGTGGGAGGTGGATTTTCGTGGTGGATTACCAGGCAGAGAACCCTGCCGCTGGTGGCGAGTGGGGCATGAATAGGCAAGCTCTTACGGCTGGCGGGTACAGCTTTCACTGGTGGGGGGCGGGGGGGGGGACGACTTGGGATGGGAACTCATTGGAAGGGAATAAACTGGCAAGTTGACTCTCTCAAGCTTTTGAGAGGTTAAAGGGAAGTTCTACTGCAAGGACAATGCCTCTTGCTGAGGGGCTACTGGTGAGTTTGAGGAAGGCAAAGACTAGGGTCCTCCATCAGCTATTCCAGGTGACACGCCACAGGGAAAACCCTACACGCAAGCGGATGTCTCAAAGAAATGGCACGGGCTTCATCCAGAGATTGGACGGGAAATGTATACCTAAAATGAAGCAACTGAGGTGCCTATGCTCTTTGATTTAGCATTTTGGTCTCCAGTCCAGAAAAAGTTGAGGGCTTAAGACCTGAAGTGACACAATGTCATGTTCACCGTACAACAGAACTTCTACCCATTGGACCCCAAGGAAGTCTGAAAATCAGCGGCACTCTTGGCTTGAGATCTGATGCCACCATCTTCTGGGTTTTTCAGGAAAACCGTATAGAGATGCTGCTTCAACTGCCAACAGTGGACTTGGCCTTACACCTGAGGGTGCAATGGAGAGAAGCAGATGGGGCCAAGGGACCCATTGCTCCATGACAACATAAAAGCAGCAACGTGCAAACGCTGAGCGTGCATAACATTCTGATGTCATCCTGTTCTTTTCCGTTTCAGTTCACCAACATCGGCTTCATCAGAGGACTGGACGAAAAATAAATATATACGTAAAACGAAATTCAATTAGGGTGGTTTTCACACACAGGTCAGCGGCGGTTCACTGCAGGCTGTGGGGAGGAGCGACCGCAAAGGGGATGGGAGAGCACGGGAAACGCTCAGAAGCTATGAAACACAGTGCGGCCACGCTTTAAAAAGAGCGGGCCACCTGTTAGAAAGCGCAGGCCCGACACTGCTGAGTGCTGACTGCCCCCTCGGCCCTTTTCGGAAGCCTTGATACCTTCTGACTCTTACCTCCCACAACCTGCCTCAGGCCACGACTAAGCTGAGCCTCACTTTCCATAGTTTGCATTGCAAAAACCAGTCAATAAATGCCTTTCCCAACTAAGCTTTTCCCCCTCTTCAACTCTACTGCCCCAACCCTTTCTTCTACCATCAAGGGTCATTTGTTATTAGCCAAGGACAAAAACACAGCTGCCTCTTTCTCAGCAGAACAGTTCAAGGCACAGAGAAGGTACAGTTAATGTGACCAAATCTGTCAACTACTAAATGCAACACCTTTTGGGTTATTCTGTCACGTCGGAGAAGCCAAACATGAGACTCGTGGGACCAGGTGGCGAGGAAGCACTTACACAAGTGCCTTCCGTCCACTGGGGATGACGGCTGTCATTGCTTCCCACCGCAGGCGCCAGCCAGCGAAGGGCCCGAGGCATTACCGGTGTCTCTGGCCAGTTGGTCAGTGGAGCAGCGGACACCTGGTGGCTTGTAAATGACGACACAAGCTGTGTACTTGGTTACCAAGTCCAAAATTTGGACCGAAGGGCTGGACTATGAAGAATAGTGAAGGCACGTACACAAAGAGGGGACAACAGCTCTTCGGTACAGGTTGTGCTCATTGCCTTACCCACCGCGCCCACTTAGGGTGTGTTCTGAGAAAAGCCTGGCCACCAAGGTAGCACGTCCTGGAGCGTGAGGAGGGTGTGTGTGGAAGGGTCACAGGACCCGAGGAGAGAAGGCACGCAGACCTTTAGTCATCAAGCTGGGTCTGGAGGCCTCCTGTTGTGGATACGGGATTTTAGGCAATTACAGTCCCTCGGCTGTTCATTCTACAGGCTGAGTGAATGACAGCTCATACCCTTCCGGGCTGCCTGTGCAGCTGAAGATGCCTGCACGTGCAAGCAGAGGCAACAAAAATGCAACCCTGAGCGCCGCGATCGATTCCGGGCCCTTACATTCCAGTGCTGGGAAGCGGCGAGACTCGCGCACGCGGTGCTTCACACCGCAACTCCCCTGCCCCGGACAGGCTGTCCCAACACGGGGGCCGCGCCACACACTCTAAGTTCGCAGTTGCTGGAAGTCAGTAATCAAGTCCTTGCAAAATGTTGTTCCCTATTCCTGGTGCATGACAAGACCCCGCTTCAGATTTTAGGAATGGAACAGAAACTCTGAGATTCATTATTTAGAGAATACTTTATTAGTTTCTGTAATCAAACCCATGTAGATTAAGACCTTACATATTTAATACAGTGCGTTACCCCTGTACAAATGGAAAAAAAATTATGTTGAACGTTTCTAGACCAATATGGCTGTTAATTTCTGTACAATGCCAACCCAACACGGTACAACTGGGATAGTTTTTCCAAAGTTGACAGCACAGCTAGAGTTTCCAAAAATTCAAATTATATATATATGTATATATATATTTATTTATATAAAAAGACCAATAGCAGTATGTTATGCATCAATAGCAGCAACAGCTTTTCCAGGTTCTGCAGTCATCTGAACAAAATTATAGAGACATCCAGCACACTCCATTAAAAAAAAAAAAAAAAAAGTAAAAAACAAATCCCCAGAAAACAGCAAAGTTCTGTTACTGTTGTGGTACCTGGCACCATTTTTTTTTTTATTAGCTTCTCCATCATCATCTGGAAAGAAAACATTCTGGAATAACGTCATTAGAAACAGCTCTGATCAAGCACGGTCACAACCACGCATCGTAAGCAGGGACAACATGGTTTACACTCACAGAGGTATGAATAGTACTGTCCTACAGCTAGAATACTAGAGGGCACAATGACAAAGGCATTATTTGAGACTTGATTTTGTTTCCCCAGCAGAGGGCCCAGCCGGAAGGGCAGAGCGCCACACTCTGGCAAGATGTGCACCTTGTCCAACAGGATTTCCCTTTGTTAGCGGCACCATTCTAGGTACTCCCTGCTCTTCACGAGTATCAGCTAAAAACCGTTTTAAAAAGATCAACCAAACCAAACCAAACCCCCGCCCCCAATCACACCCCCCTGGACGCACACTCAGATGGCCGAGGAGGTGGGCAAGGCTCGCCCCGACCAGTCCTCACCGCAGCCGCCGCGCCGGAGGAGGGGCTGGCACCCCCAGGGGCGAGGGGCGCAGCAGCCACACCCTGGCCCGTGGGGTGAGCTTGGGAGGCTGCTGCCACTGCCTCACCGTGGTTCACTCGTCCAGGAAGAAGGGGAGGTCGGCTATGATACTGTGTGTTCAACGCGGTCACCACTGGAAAAGCAGCAAGCTGCCGGGGCGAGCCAGGCTCCTCTGCGCAGCCCCGGCCCTCGTCGCCACTCCCCCCGCCCGGGGCCCGCCGATGCCCAGACTGCAGCTGAAGGACTGCAGGGAGCGGCTGCGCCGCCGGCTGGGCCCGCCTCGCTGACAGGCTGGGCTACTCCTCGGCAGTGCTCCTCTCCTCTTGTTCCCGGTGTCCCATCTAACCATGATGATTTAGTTCTAAAGGGTGTGCACTCCAGGACTGTGTGCGTGTCTGCATGTAAATTCAGATGCATGGCAACCAACAGGGTGCGTGTTGTGTGGTGGGTGCGGCTTGTGTCAGGGTGAACGGCTCCTGTGCCCCCCGTGTGCCTCCGAGCTCCGGACAGGATCATGTCACGGCCTTTACCCCTTTGGCTGCTGGCACTGCCTGACCGCGTCCTTCCTCCTCCCCCTTGCCCCTCCCCCAGGCCCTGCCATAAACCACAGCCTTTTAAGATTTTGTTTCTTCGGTTTTGATGGCCTGAGGTTTGATGGGTCCAGTTCGAACAGGCTTGGTGGCCATGGTGGGTGCAGGAGGGGGCTTTTCTTCGACTTTTTCCTGACAGACACCAGGGGCCTCGGCCAGTGTTTCCGGAGGTTTGCCCGCATCGCCGTCCACCTTCGGGGCCTTGCCGCCTATCTGTTTGCTCTGCTGTTGTTCAGAGAAGAAGCGCTGCGTGGACTGAAGAACCTCTGCTCTCTGCTTTGCCTTAAAGAATGAGAAACAACAACTGAAGACGCTGCAGCATCACCAAAGCCTGTCAATCACTCTCAGTTAGAATCCTCTCACCAATCACCAATCAGCTTTCCCCACGCTGGTTTGATCCAAACCAAAAGTACCTCATTGATCTTTTAATGGATAGATTTCTTCCTATCTGAAAACATTCCAAGTGATTTTTTAAAAAAAATATTTAAAAAGATCAGGACCACCTCCCACCACCTTTTCCAAGTTTGCCCTCTTATAAGATAATAAAATAGGAGTTGCTGTTGGTTTGTATCTTGTCTGGAACAAACCTTATTGATATCAAATTTTACTTAGGGAGCCTGCTTGCAAACTTGAAAACATATATGTAACACTTAAAACTTCTAGTTATCAACATGTGGTCTACAATAAAATGAAAAGGAAGCACTTATATTGCGGCATTACCAACACCTAGGACCAAATGTCTTGTGGCTGAGTCCTCTTCCCACAGCTCTCTTCTGCAGGGGAAGAGCATCAGAAATTAGTAACTACAACCTCACTGGATCACTGAGTTCTGAGAGCTCCTACCGCACTCTGAGCTGGTAACATCATCGCCTCATTTTAATGCCTGCGTGCCCCACGTGTACACACACTTACGTCGGCCTGTCGATGGCACCGCTGCAGTCTACATTCCTACAGCTCTTGCATATGACAAAGCCCCGCCTCTATGGGTCCACTGCACTGTCCGAAACTCTGAAGCAGTTTTCAAGAAATCTGTGCCCTTCCCCACCCCGTTATTAAGCTACAATGTCATTTCCAACAAGGGAATTTATGGAAAGTCAAGCGCCAAGGAGCCAGAAACAGAACAGAAACCATGACCACACAGCATCCAGGGATGTCTACACATATGCTGGCGTCTGTTCCAGCCACGGACAGAAGCCCAGGCACACGGCCGCGAGAACAGCAGGCAACACATAAGGTGAGCCTTGCTGTAGGGCAGTCTTTACACCTGGCCACTCAGGGACAGGAACAAGGCTGCCGGCCCGGAGGGCCCTCGGCCAGCCTGCCCAGTTCTCTACAGGACTGGCACAACACGCTCCTCGTTCCAAGGAAGCCTGGTGGCGGCCCTGGCCCTGCTCGGGAGCGGGAAGCTTGTCTTTGTTCTGGTCGGACCTGACACAGATTAACAACAACAGGCAAAATGATGAGGGCCTCGCAAGGCCAGTCTTGGTGAACACAAAGGTACACGGTCAGCCGGCTGCAAAGGCAGACGGGGAAGGTTTCTGCTGCAAAAACTGTCCCCACACAGACTCCTACAGGCACTCCTCTGCGTTAGCACACCTCCCGGGCTTCGTGCCTCTCACTGTGAAGGATCCCAAAGTGCTTGTTTGAGTTCTGCACCTACAACTACACAAACTGTGGTGGAACGCAGCCACTTCATGGGTGGGCACAAAGGAGTATGGGACAATTTGAGAAGGATGTTGGACTTGGTGACTCACGGAAGAAGGGAAATCAAGTCAGGTAACATGTCTCACCCATCAAAGTTCCACAGAACCATGATTTATAATGTAAGCTTGGGGAAGTGGCGGGGGAGAAAAAGAAAAGAAAATGGGGAAGCCTATCACAGTCCATATTTTTTTGCTCTTCCAAAAAATGTAGTGGCTAAACTCAGATCTCCCTCAAGTATTTATTTTATAAGCAATTCATTTGGCCACAGAGTTTAAAATGTTAACTTGTTTGCTGACAATAGTTGCAAAAGGAAAAAAAAAAAAAGGAAAAAAAAGGAAAAAAAGAAAAAAAAGGTGGGGGAAACAGGGAGAAAAATAAAGTAAATAATAATAATAATGACGATGATAAAAAGGAACAACTGAGAGGGACCGGCTCGGCCACGCCTGCCGGGACGCGTGGTCAGGGCCCAGAGCATCGAAGACGTGGCTCAGACAGAGGGTCGCTCTGGCGGCTGCCAGCGCTGTACTAACCTTCATGTCTTGTTCAGCCTTCAGCGCGGCCTGGGCCTGAGTGCCTCTGGCTCCAGCCAGCGATCCACAAGGACCCCTGGCTACATGTGGCACACGAGCATGGCTCATGAGGCCTGTGGTCAGCGGAGGAGGCATCTGACTGGCCAGTGCCATTGGTGGCCTCTGAACGGGCGCTGGGAAGGTGTTAGTATGTGGGGCTCTTACCAATGGAGGGACCAGGTTAGGCTGAGAGAGAATCTGAGTGAAAAAAAAAAAAAAAACATACAACATTAAACTGTTAAAAAAATTTTTTTTGCCAACTAGACCGGTTGGCTCATCCCAGAGTAAATCTGTACCAATTCCGCCAGGGAGGGAAGTGTACAATCGCGCCACCCCAGCACCAGGACCTGGGTGCCAGACCCCGCCGGGAGACTCTGGCGGGGCCTTGGGCAGAGCGTGCCGTGGCACTTCCGGTGCCGCGTCTGAAGGGGAGACAGGGTGGCTACTACTTAGGATAGCTTTTGAAAAAGGTATAATTGCAGAAAAGGAATACACCTATACCAAACATAATCAGAAAACAAATAAAAACAATGCGGATTTGACAAATACATGTTTTCTCAGGTACCAATTCTAGTTAGTGAGCCTTCTGATCAATTTTAGTGAGTCGTTCCATCGGAGCAGCAAAGGGGAGTGAGGCTGACGTTTTTGTACATGTATCAAATATCTTTTGGAAAATTTACTTCAACTACACAGTTGTCTTTAAAAAAAAAAAAAAAAAAAAAAAATCAAAACCCAAAAGCAAACAAACAAAAAACCCTGGAAAACTCTAAGCACTGGGACCCTTCTCTGAAAAGTCAACTTCTTAAAAAAGATAAAAGGAACCGAACTTGGATTTTCAGAGCTGTGTGGGGAATCTGCTTCTACTGCCTGCTTTAGACCTATAGTGATCTGTGTCTAGCTAGAAACTGCAGAGACTGGACTTAAATCTCATCAATTTACTGTTAAATAGGAAACCGTTTCTCATCAAAAACTGTGTGCCTACACCAGTTATAATAGGGCCAGACTATAAAATCAGAGAAGCCGCCGGGTCAGCAAGCACCGGCACGCAAATCGTCCTCGTTTCTCACTTGTATCCGCCCACCTGGGGTGCAAACTGTGCAGGAAACGGCTGGGTCATTCTCACAGTGGCGGGGGCTGCCTGGAACTGCTTCTGATAGACAATGCTGCTCATTTTGCTGGACTGGCTGTTCGGACTTGTGGAAGTGGCCCTTGGAAAGAAGTCGTCACTGGTCAGTATGGCAGTGCCAGATAAATGACGCTGTTAGATTCCTAGAGAGTGCGCTTGGTAGACTCATCACGTCCGGTTGTTGATGAGAATTTACCAAGGTGAGTCACCAAACAGCACGGGCAGTGGAGAGACATTGGAGGGGCAGAGGTGAGAAAGGATACTGGCTACATCTGCCCTGTATTTAAAAGTTTTTCTTGAAATACAGTATAACGAACACATTCTTAAAAATTCAACAGCTTAGCATTTCAGATAAAAACTATCAGAAGGTCTTGTGCTTACCATAGGGCTGGCGACACAGTACACATCTAACAAATAAATGGTGCTCAGTTATTTGGGAATTCTATAGCAAATACAAATGCCCGTTTTACCGGAAGGGACTAGAGGTGGGTGTGGTGCTTCTTCCGCTGATTGGAGGTGTGCCTGGTTTTATATCAATGCCACTTCCAAAGGCCTTTAGTTCCATTTCAGACATCTGAGAAAGAGCATAAAATAAACCTAACATTTCTGCAATCCCATAAGCTAACGTGCTGTATTTAGTATTCTATATATGAAAACTTAATCCACCAAAGGGCAAAGGACCTCAGTAGCAAAATCTTCTATCAGTTTCAAACAAATTAACAAGGCCAAATTTGTGGCTAAGAAGTCAAAGAGGCAGTGTAAATGCAATTCTCCCACAAAATCTGTGAATTCCTTGGTCAGAGGTAAAACACAGAGGCAGCAAACACATTTAAAGCATACTGTGATTTCCTAGAGGGTGGCAAAACTAACACGTGTGGCTTTTTCAGGCCACACAACGCCCACCTCCATCCAGCCTTCCCGCACTTACTTTCCCTGTGGCTGCCATCATGCTGTGCTGGGCTCCAGCAGGGATCAGCCCCCGGAAAGGCTGGCTGACCTGCGCAGGGCGGCTCAGGCTCTGGGCCTGGGCCTGGGGAGCGCCGTGCTGCAATGGGGGCTGCAGAGTCTGAGGCAGAGCGATCAAAGGCTGCCCGGCGGACCCGAAGTTAGGCAGGGAGAGCTGGGACGCTGGCAAAGGCACGGTCACCTAGGACACAAGCAAACCAAGCTGGAGCGGTCGGCTTGCACGGAGCACGGCGTACGTACACCCCCTTCACTGTAACGCCACTCTTCAAATACTCAAGGGATTTCAAACAGAAGACGTCAATCTATTAATACACTGCACGTGGAAATCTTCTCCATGGTGACTGTCTTCGTTCTTTCATTAAAGGTGCAACAAAATAACAAACTAGCAGTGAAGAAATTATTTAACTGAAATAATTATAACTATCTTTGAATTAATCTACATGTCGTATAACCACAGAATACAATAAAGTCATGGGGATACATTTTAAGAAAGTAGTCATAACTTCCCAAATAGCAATTTATTTTCAGTGTCAATAAGAATAAATATAGTTGAGTTGTCACCCCTGAAAAAGCCACCAAAAATAGCTATGAGAAAATGACTTAGGGCTTGCCTCTCTCGCCTTGCCCCCCCGCCAACTTTTAAAGAATAAGCTCACGATTAATGATATTCTAAGAGACAGCTTAAAAAAAAAAACACATTTTTTCCCACTGAAAACTATTATAATCCTACACTTAAGAAATGTGTTTGTCCACATTGATGTTTCTCTCCCTTTCTCCCTCCCTTCCCGTCTATTTAAAAAAATAAAGGCAAAAGCAGTATACACTCAATCCATTAAAAAAAAACCAGAAACACAACCCAAACATCTCTGCCATTCGCCCTCTGCCACACAGCCCTACATATTACAGCCATCAGTGCGGTGGTCTTTAGTCTCCCTTTGCCTCTGGCACAAAAGCGTAAAGTACCTATCACACTTACATGTAAACGCATATCCCTAAGGGCAGCTTTCCAACGTTTATATTCATGGGGTCCTTTGTTAAAACAATTACATGGAAACCCATTACAAAAATTAAAATAAAAAGCAGAACCGACTCAAGTGGGAGAGGGGAGATGGGTGTTGTGGGACCTGCTGGTGGATCCCGCAGAAGTCCCAGGACATCTCAGAGAAAAGCCTGAGAACTACCACACATCTCCCCATCTTGGTTCTATTTAAATTTCCAAACAGCAGCAGCAGAAGCAGTAGGAGGAGGAGGAGGAGTAATAATATTAATAATAATGAAAACTGAGGAAATTTACCATGCCGTAGTTTACCTGCTGGAGAGTACTCGGTGACTGGGCAGTGTTGTAAAAGCTTGTCTGGCCAGGCTGCTGTACTTGTCCAGAATAAAGATTTGAAGCCTGGGTAAGATTTGCTCTCGCCTAGAAAACAGCAATAAGAAAACAGCAGTAAGATTTTTAAAATTTCCAATTCAGATATCAAGGTTATGGCTTCAAAGCAATCTTTAAGAGTTTCAGTATTATTTAAAAAGAAGACCTTCGTTTTTCCATTGTGTCTTTCAACATTCTGCTTTAAAACTGTCCTGAGTCACCTGCCACATGAGCACGCAACGGCGACGCAGCCCTGGGCGCTGCTGGAATTACCTGCAGGAGGTGCGTGTCGATCAGCTGCGAGCCCCCCAGCCCCGACGCCTGGCCCAGCTGATGCTCGTACAGTATGGGAATAGGCTGGGTGCTGGAAGTCTGCTGAAAGGCAAGGCCCGACTGTGCCTTGGCGAGCTCCTGGTGCTGGACGGCTGGGAAGTTGTGAATGGCAGTGCCAGAAAGGACCACGGACGGCTGCGACAGGCTGCTCTGCATGAAGGCTGGCTGAGACCTGCACAGGCATGGAAGCGAGAAGGCTGCGTCAGAGGTCAGGTCTACCAGGGACCTGGAGCCCTTCCGGAGGAGTGGCCTAAATGTCCAAGTGCTCAATCAGCCTAAGAAAAGAGGCAGACAACACAGACCTCCTCTGGGGTCCCATGTCTGGAAAAGGGCTCCCTCTTCCCAGAAACTGAGGTTTCCCCTCCTGAACAATGAGAATGACTCTCCCTTTGTGTACTTACTAGCAAGCTCAGAGCCAAACCTCCCATTTTCTCTTTGGTGCTGGCACTGCATTTAATTTACAGCACGAAGAGCTCTGACTTTTATTATCTGTATCTCATGACATCCTCTCGTTTATTTCTCACAGGAGGCCTCAAGACCCCTATGGAACGAAGCCAAGTACTAGTTGGTATTAGGATCATTCATGAAGTATCAATTTTTTTAAAAAATTGAGGTATAACATATTAACATAATGACTTGGTATTTGTATATTGCAAAATGATCAACACGGTAAGTCTAGTTAACACCTATCTACATACAGTTACATATTTTCCAAATGATGAGAATTTTTAAGACTTACTCTCTTAGCAACTTTGAGGTATGCAACACAGTATAATGATCAAAGGATGCAAAACTTCCAGTTGTAAAACAGTGAGTCACAGAGCTGTAATGTACACCATGACAACAATTTGAAAAAATTTAAGAAAAACCTCAATGCTGAAATAACCCTTTGGGATAGAGACCTCCAATCTATACTTCATAAAATGCTAAGATAAAAAGTAACTAACTGAATGAAAGCAGTGGATTAAAGATCATCTTACCAATAACGTTGTACTTTGTAAAATGACACATGGCAGGACAAAAGCCACTGCGCGCAGGAGTGTTAATCTAGGGTCACAAGTAATCTTAACAATGTCTCCTTGTAATTTATGCTTCAAATATAAAATGGGAAAACAGGGATATTGTGAAACTGTGCTGGTAGAAATTAATTCAGGGATCCCCATCAACAAACACAAACCACCCAGACAGAGCAGGGGCAGCGGAATGATGTGGCAGACACAAACTGCTTTCGAAGTCTAAGCCTGTGCCTTCCAACACCATGGCCACGATTACAGACACAGCTCACGCTGTATTTCTACCCAACGGGCCTGCTCTTCCAAGGCACCTGCGCCAACAGGAGTGCAGATACTGCCGCGCTCTGTGCGCCTCCGCAGGGCCGTGGGGCTGTTCCCCGGTCGGTCTCTCACCAGCCTCTGTCGGAGCTGGAAAGGAGTGTAACTCTTCAACGTTTATGGCAGCCAACACCAATTAAAAGGAGACTGGTTTGTGAGATTGAATCTGTTTACTATTTCTGAACTAGAAACTCTAAGTTTTTTTTTGTTTTTTTTATACCACAAATTCCAAGATAACCCTAAATTTAATAAAAGAGACAGCCTCTAACTTCTAGTTGGAGTAAATAGTTTTAATTTTACAGGAAGACTATTTTTTGGAATAAGCAAACTAAATGATAGAGTAATACCAGAAAATAAAACATACAATTATACAGATGTACTAAATTTTACTAAGAATCTTTAATCAAAAAATGAAAGTGACAGCCACATTTTCCAAGTTTACTAATAATTCTGCTGTTAAGGAAAGGTGGCTGGCTGAACCTGACCTTGTGTAGGAATGTAGTTTATGCAATCTAGAAGAAATGAGCTATGTCAATGATTTTCCATCCTTATTAGTTCATGAGACACAAACTAGCTACTAAAATTCTGCGGCACACCAAAAATATATTATGTCGGTCTGACCAAAAAAAAAAAAAAAAAAAAAAAGGTATTATTTTGATTAATTCACACTGGACAGCTATTGTTGTGTTAGCTGTTGTCATTTTGAAAGTGTGACCATCTAAGGAGAACGAGGTCAGTGCCCAACTAAATCGTCAGGGACTGCATGCTTTAAAAATTCTTGCAGCACACTGGTTGAAAATTGCTGAGCTTCATCAATCGATGCCAAGTCCCATCTATAAAGTATGGAAATTATATTGGAACCGCATCAAAACCCAACACATTTCTAAAAGCCAATGCACAGCTCTGCAGCCCTCCTAGGCGGCCCTAGGAAGGAATTTACTTTTTGCTGTGGGGGCTGCAGGCACTGCCCCGAGCAGGGGTGAGGGCAGCCGGGCCGTAAGCGCGGCTGCCTCCGCCTCCTGCTCTCTCCAAGGTGGAGATGAGTCTCCTGTGGGTGAACACAGGCTCTGTCGCTTATGTGCAGTGTAACCTGAGGTAAAAAACAACAACAAAAAATGCAGAACCCAACCCTGGCAAGTCTCCACTCCTCCTGGCAGGCGGGGACGACACGGCCTACCTTAGACGGTGGGGCCAGGGCTCCTGTCCCGAGTCCCTGTGTGCAGAGGCGGGGGCACACTCGCGCGCACCGCCACGGCCGCTCTTCACGCTCGGCCCTCCACTCCTCTTTCTCACCGCGTTCTGCCCTGGTCTGAGCCCTGCCTGACACGGCACGCAGCAGCAAGATGGCACTTACACTTGTGAGACCCTCAGGAGTTATTTTCTGTGTTTTCTAATTGTCCTGAGGTTGCTGTCACCCTCTTCCCCAAGAAGCTTTGAGGCTTGAAGCTTTAAGTCTGACTGAAACGACCAGCGGCTGAGGTTCATGACATACAATCAATGTGATTAATGACAGAATGCAGTTTGTAACAGTCGCCCTAGCTGGTCAGGCGAAGGAAGCAGCAGGGGGATATGGCTAGAAAGCTCAGCAAGTACAATGCCTCCAACCACAGACACATTTTGAAGCGTTTACCTGTACGGCTGAAGGGAAGAGCTGAATAATTCCTGTGCCTGGGAAACGGCGGGCGCAGCACCCAAACTCAGCTGGGCCTGGTGCTGCCCTTGCAGCGGCGCGTAGATGGGGATCGGGATCTGCTGCACGGAGGCCGGCTGCCACGCAAGGAGAGAGGGGGTGTGAGCGGCATGACCGCGCGGGGCCGGGGGGACAAAACTCGCTACAACACGGATAAAAGATTGATGCCATGTACCAGTTTCCTTTTAACACAAAACCAAGTGTAAACATTTACATTTTCCTTTCAATCCATTCCTTGATTCCACATTGTTAACCATTAAGTTTTGGCAAAATTTGGTAAAGTTTTTACATTGGTAATCATGGGCTGTCCCGCATGAGCAAAAGAAGAGTCTACCACTTGTAGCTGGAGAAAACTGCTGCACCGTAAGACTGCCACGGAGCCAGCGCGGGACCGGGGGGCCTGCGGCGCTCACCTGAGACAGGCCGGGCTGGAAGCCCTGCTGCTGGGCCAGTGACGGCGGGGCCAGCCGTGCGTGCTGGGTGTTGAACAGGTGACTGGTGTCCATGTAGAAAGCTGGGATCTGAGCTGCGTGCCCCCGGGGAAAAACAAGCAGCAGTAAGAGTCTGCGTCTCAGAGTTTAACAGATTGGTATGTGCAAGTTAAAACAGCGAAACTCTAGTGCGTGTCCAAGTATCAGAAACAGATACTCTCATATGCTGTCAACGGGGTACAAACTAGTAAAATTTTGCATATTCCACTAAAATTAAAAATGAACCTGTTTAACAGCCAACTCACTCCAGTTTTAAATCTATCAACCAGAGTTCAGCAAAATATTTAACAGATCTGATATTTAATCACTGAAAGAATTTGGAACAGATTTTTTAAAACAGATTTCTATGTAGTATACACTGTTTTGCAATTTGCTGTTTTTAATGTTGAGAAGAACTTCCCATATTGTTTTAACTTTGCCACCACTGCAAATGGTACCACAATGAATGAACACCCGCACACATATATCTCTGATTAGTAAGTACACAGATAAACTTAGTAATTATGAAACCGTTACTACTGTATGTATACATAAAATACTGTGAGATATTTTTCAGTAAGTATTATGACAATTTATATGCTCGCCAGCAAGGCACTTATTAATAAGAGCCCAATATAATTTCCATGATCCTTACAGATACTGGGTATTAAAGACACTGGTTATCAATCTTTCTACTATTGCCCACATGCAAAGGCAAGAAATAGCCTCACTGTTATTTTAAATTTAAATCATTAGTGAGTTTGAGTATTATTCAAATGTTTATTTACTATTTAGTTCAGATTAACATTGTGACATTTAGTGACACAAGTTACCCCACCCTCAATATATAATTTTTTCTTCTTTGCTATTTTCTTAGGTTCTTCCCCATGAACTTTATTATCAATCTGTCAAGTTTCAGGTAACAAACTTTCATAATGACTGGAATAACATCAAATGACCAAGTTATTTCTCATATTATCAGAAGCTAACTTGTCTGACACACACGTAAGGGACACTGGTCAAGAGCCCCCGAGTGCCTGTCAAGAAGACAGAGCAGTCACTTCTACCCGGAACTGGACTCGCAAAGCAGGTCACAGGTATCTGAACGGAAAGGGTGCCCGGGAAGAGAAGGACGCTGGACTCGCTCACGCTCCAGCCTGGAGCCCTTACCGGCGGCAGACTGGGAGACGTAGACCTGTGGGCTCTGCTGCTGCTGGGCGATGAGGGAGGGCACGCAGCTCAGCTGTGAGAAGTGGCTGGCGGACGGCAGGCTGCTCGTCTGCAACTGCTGGGGCTTCACTTTGCAGATGTTAGGGGGGTCTGACGTGGTTGTAGATTTTGTGCTCAGAGAAGAGGTAGTGTATGTACCAGCTCCTATATTTGGGAGAGGGGTAAAATAAGGGAACAATGTTGTCTATTTTAAAGTGCCGCTGCTGTTCACAGTAAAATAACTCAGGTGCCAAGTGGAAAGTGGAAAATTAATGTTCGTGCCCCCACCATGTACTTAAAGCTGCAGACACCCCAGGGTAAAAGGAGACATGTCATTATACTGACTACCTCTTCCCTCTCTCTCCAGCACCCCCTTGTGTATGCCTTAAAAACTAGAAAAATAAATGAGACATTATATAACTTGAAAGATCAGTATTTCTGTTGATCGATGAGCTCTAATGACGGCAACACTGCAGCAAATTACAACACTGGTATCTGATTAAAAGGTGAGACGTAGCAATCATTTACTGTCAGACGTCTAACGGTGCTGTACCTAAGACAGCACCAAGATCAAGGGACCTCTGCTCTTCCACAAGCGTCTCTACCAGCAGGATGACAAGAAGGCCCTCACGGAAAAATTCATCCTAGCTGAGGGACCCTGGAAAGCTACAGACCTGGAAAAAAGGAGATCACTGGGTCCACAGAAAAGAGCTAGAAGCTTGGCAGTGCCGCCACCCCCTGACCTCCCCACAGGCCCCCGGTGGCGGAGCGGGGCCCCAGCCGGAGCCAGGGAGCAGAACAGGGGCAGGAAATGCTGCGCAGCAGAAGGCGCACAGCTGGCACGCTCTGTTTGATTTGAATCTCCAGGTTTGTCTTAATAAATACCAATACATACTTCTGATTCCAAACAGTATCAAAATAACTGCAGTATAACCCAAAGGCCAGTTGTTTTGGTACTTAAAACTAGCAGAAGAGTGACAGGAAAATAAAAAGCAGCACTGCCACCGGTAAAGACGGCTGTCAAAAAAGGTCCACTCTTCGCTGGAAATACTGTGTAACCACAGTACACTGTGCGGGAAAGGCGCCTGCCGCTGCTCTGGAAACATTAGAGAACACTGGGGAGCTCGCGGTAAAATTTCTCCGTTCGGTAAAAGGGTGCATTTCCCCAGAGTCAGGCATTGTAGAAACAGCCCCTGTGACTCTCTGCGAACTGTAAAGCCTCCCAAATGATAGGACTGCACACTAGTGAAAAAGTAAGGGAAGAAAATCACCTTTGTAACTTGGGGTGCTGAAGGACTCTCCTTAAAAACAAATAAAACAAGACCCAAAAAACAGTGGATATCATCTACTCAAAAAACAGAGACTGGAAGTTCTACCTCTAACTCTTCACCAGAAAATATGTTAACCTAATAGATTTAGGACAATACTTCCTTCAAATTACATACAGACTGTAAAGACTTTAAAAGCTATATGATTGTTTTATTTTTGAGTTAGTTTAATTAGCTGTATATGAACTCAAAAGTAAAAAACGAGAGGTAAATTTTATAGAAATATTTACAGAAACAATAAAATTTTCTCCACCAATTACTTATTAGTATCCATATGGGGGTGGGGCACAACAGGGGAGAAGAGAAGGTCCAGCCAAGTGTTTTAATAAGCCACCAAGAAACGTCTGCTAAACTAAAACTGGGAAGCTAAAGAGAGGGGAGTGGGCAAGAATGGCAGTGAGTTACATCACGCACAATCTGACAGCTCTTGCAAACAGTATTTTGGGGAGAGTCAACAAAAAGTCAGGCCAAGAAATCGACGGCATCTGAAGGCTCTCAAAGGAAAGGCACGCAGGCTTCTACCTGACAGCGAGGCGGTGGGGGTGACCGAGGCGACGGGGATCTGCGGCACGGACGCGCTGGAGAAGGAGCTGTAATTCGCACCGCCCGGCCCGCCGGCACCGCTGCCACCCCCACTGGCAGCTGGCGGGGCTGCGGAAGTTACTGGAGACCCCTTTTCCCGCACATTTGGAGAATTCTCCCACGCTTTCCGGGCAGACTCCATCTGCAGTGAAATGGGAAACAAGTTACTATGCTAACATAGAATATAGAACACACATACATACATGTACATAAATATACTGTACACATGTACATATATCTACATTTAAATTCCAAATATCTTTCAGAAACCACAAAAATAAAAGATGAAGACCCAAGGATTTATAAACCTTTCATTCCCCTCCTGCATCTCTATTTTTTTACTTAAATTGGGAGGCAGCGGGCCTTAAAGATGTCTCTACAGGGACCTTGCTGGCAGCTCTGGCAAACAGGCCAATGAGATACAATGGCACAGCTCCTGTATCTGGGCCCGAGCCCCTGCCTTGACCGGTGACTAAGACAACGGAGCACCAGGTCCTCCAGGGCTGGCTGAAGGCTCTGAGTCTAGTGTGAAAGAGACGCCAGGCCCCTTTTTGTTTGGCTCTTTTATGCTCAGTGTTTTAAAAGCTGGTGTGGCTCACTGGGTTGGGCAGCACCCTGCAAACCGAAAGGTCATCGGTTCAATTCCCAGTCAGTGCACATGCCTGGGTTGCAGGTGTGGCCCCCTAACCTGGGCGTGTGCCCAGAGGCAACCAATCCGTGTTTCTCTCCCCACCCCCACCAGGAATCAATCAAAGATAGATAGATAGATAAATAAATAAATAAATAAAACGAACTAACGAACGAATGAGCAGTAATGTAAGCAGACAGGTTTTAGGCTTGGGCGCAGCAGAGACACATTTCCCACATGGCCACCCCGGGGCACTTCCAGGCACTAACTGCCGCCATTTGTACTCGGGGCTACTGGTGTTAGCTATAGTCTCCTAGCCTCTGAAATGGTAGAAACAGGTCTTATTTCAATCCATTTTCAGTCTCTCTAGAGCAGTGATGTTCAACAGACATAAAAGTCTGAAGTTTTTAGTTCCACTAGTGGACATAAAATTCAGTTGCAATGTCTTACACGAGTATACTACTTTTTAACAAGATTTTTAAATCTCATGGTTATGAAGTTTGTAGGTTCGCTGTATCCACTTTTAAATTTTTAACCTTATTTTCATTTTAAGAATTTAAGAAATATTACATATCTCCCTGCTTTCCTGTTAAAACACACACTATATATAATTTAACCTTTTTAATGACTGTTATCTCCATAAATTAAAAATACAATACACTTTTATGTTTGCTTACATCTTTTCTTCACAAGCACCTTGCATGCTGGTTTCACATGTGTTTAATTTTAAAACAAAAGTTGTTTTCTTTATATTGTTTTTGGGGTGTATGTGTGTGTGTTAAAAAACAACTTAATGCAATTTCCTTGTACTATCTGAGATTCTGTGGTTTAGAGCAATTTTATACAGTACACTACAATGTCTTTTATACCAGTTTTATAGTGCTGAAAACATGAATTATTGCTAATGAAACTTGTGTAAGATACAGGCCACATACATTTGGCTTTATTTTATTTCTAAAACAGCAAGAAAATTTAGGTTCCAATTTTGGAAATTCAAGGAAACTAAAAAGTATAATCACTTAATTATATTCATTTTCCCTCTTGGTAAATATACTGTCAATAATACTCATAATAGAACTTCTCTATACATTTTGTGTTACTGAAATAGATGTCAGAAGTAAAAATAAGGACACTAGAGAAAGTTTTAAGCTAATGAAATTTAATTCTAACTGTATATTACTTCTTGAAGTATTAAAAACATTGCGTAATGTTAAAGGATTTTCCTGAAGAATTAACAACTGGCCTGAAGACTAATTAATGATACTGTATTGTTTATGTGACATCAGACTAGGGCCTTGAATAATATAACGCAGAGCATGAAACACAGGCTGAGACGGCCGTTCCAGTGGAGGAGCAGCAACCAGGCTGAGGGGCTGGCAGCGGACAGTCCGAACCCGGCGGGGGCGGCAACGGCACAGCGCCGTGGCGGCTGCTGTACGAAATGTCCTAGTCTTGCCTCACGCGTACTAAGCCTCTGAAGAAGGTAGGGGGCAAGAAGGCAAGTGTCCAGGAGGCTGGAGATTCCAACAGAAGAGTCTAGAAGCGAACACTGGCCACATCAGAGAATGACTTAGTTTGCTCCTCACCTGAAGACCACCACCAAACCAATTCCCTGCCGGCCAGTGCCACTTGAGGAGGCCCTGCTGTTAACAGAGGTAAATACTTGCCTTAAAAACCCCTCATTTAATTCCATGTCTGCACTTTTTTAACGAGTGACTAATCTTGAGATGAACTCATTTCAAATACTCTCAAACAACTCTGACAAAGCATTAGTAATGTAACTCAAAATTATAAGGACAATAGGAGACAAAAAACAAACAAGCCTAAACTTGACCTCAAAAAGCATGTGTCTAAAATTTCTTTTGCATCCTTATTCAAAAAGTATCCAGTAATAATTGATTCAAAATCATTTGCATTAATCAACTACCTCTTCTAAAATATTCTAACTACTACACTGCTTTCATTCAACTCACACATGACTGACAGGACAGACAGAGAATTAGTATTTTTATCATCATTTGTACTTAGGATAAAGACATGCAATATCAAACCAGTTGTTTCTTTGTGCACAGCTAATATATCCAAAAATTATTACAATCTGTAAGAGGAATTAGTTACAAACATGGAATATAAATGTGCTCCTGTAATTTTAAGACCAATTCACAAGCGTAACAGTCTTACTTTAGATAGGAGGATATCAAGTCACTGCTAAGTGGTATTAGAACCTATTAAAAGTTCAAGGTGTAATTTGACATTGCTCTACTTCCTCAGCTTGGTACTGTGGCCTACCACATAAAACCAGTAAAAAAACCGCAGAAGAGCACTGTTAGCCTATGCGCCCTTGCATGCAACAACCAAGGAGCTTTAGTGATGGGATGTCATACGTACCTTGAAGGTGAGGCTGAACGTCGTGGGAGGACCTGGAGTTAGGCTGGCGCTCTGCTGCGCAGTCTCCCTCTTGGGGAGGGGAAGGGCGCTGGGCAGGGGCACCTGCGAAGGCACGCGACACGCATCACCATCGAGCGCTCTGGGTCTGCCGCAAAAGCCGCTGGGGCAATGCTGCCGGGCTCGAAGGGCGTTTTATTTTTCATCAGAGCCCACTGGAGTATTTGATTACTTAGAGTTACACTGTATTTATAGTAATTGATAATTAGATAAAACAAACTCCTGAAGAGAATTATTACCTGCCTTTTCGTGGAGGAATTGAAAGAGTCTGTCCCCAATATAAGGGTATGCACATGAAGGCAGTGCTTCTCACTGTCACTGAATTCCCCAAGCAACAGCAACAGCAGGATCGTGGCACTTACTGTTAGACTCTCGGAAGTGTTAGAGACTCACTACCCATGTGGCTTTTTTTCCTTTAAGTCTCTAGACCTTGAGATTTCTGTGATGTCCTACTTACTATATGACCGACTTTGATGGTTTACTCAGATGTTTGGGAACAGAGACCGAGATGGCAGAGGTGTCAGGTAATCACTTTGTGACACCGGGGAGTATCTAATGGAGAGTCTAATACCATGGACTCCCTCGTAGAGATTGGCTGTGCTAGAATAATCTTCAACATACTCAAAACAACTCTACTATCAGATAACACTAACCAATAAACATTGGCAAAGATCCCAAAAAAGTGTATCAAGCTTCAAGAAGAGAAATAAGCCTCTTTTTGAAAAGACAGGACTCCCAACAGAACTCCCAAGCAGGTTACAATGAAGGAAACAGAAACATTTCAAAAGGTCCTAAAACTTTGGATTTTGTTTTTAACATTGTAATACCCAAGTTCAAAGTCACCACCACACCGGACACAACTGATACTGTGAAATCATTCCAAATCAACGACCACTCACAGTGTGCCCTGGCCCAGGCTGAGCTTTCTGATGTCAAGCACAGTCTGGACACACCGCTCACGATCAAAGGCAGACCAGTCACTGACACCCAAGTCCCTACCCCTCCGTGGTCTCTGTGCACAAGTCACCACGTTCGCTAGCCTTGCAAGCCAATGCTCAAGAGCATTTCCAATGACTTTTAAAAGGGTCTGAGAATAACCTTTCCTTCATTTTTCCTCTTTCATAAATTAATTTTTAGACAATAGTTAGAAAAGCATCATAAGCTTTCTTGAAAAGTAACACCTAAGAAATACTCTCTATTTTTAAAAAATGAGTAAAGACACCACAATTCAAGTACAATTAACTTTACTGAGCTGTTACTGATTCAGCATTTGATAACTGACAGTGACATTAGCACTTAATTTCCCAGAAGTCTTTTTGTCCTTTCCAAGTTTTCCATTACTTCCTACAGTAAGTTAAGTAAATTTCAACCTTTCTCCGAAAGATCAAGGGAGTGGTTTTGGCACACAAAATGAAGTGTTATAACAGCTAAAAGTTAGACAAATTACATTAATTAGCTCCTAAACTGTGCTCCTATCACAAAGAGAAATGTGCGATGCACTTTTTTCTCCTTTTCCGCTCAGTTACACAGTAGTAGTCTCTCAGCTGTGTGACAGAGGGGGATTAAGTGGCCCCTGATGCAGGTCACCTCTCTGAAATTCTATATACTTGATGTTAAGGGAACAACAGAAAGCACAGGAAAACGTTTGTACAAAGACATAACCAAGATTTTTATTCTCAAAACAACAGTTAAAGCCTTGTGTGAGACTTTTAACTACATCTATAAAGGCTATTTCTTGAAAAGAAAATGCCTTTGCTTATCGCAGAGGACAACATTTTAAAAAGAGAGCAGCTGACCAAGCGTCCCCATCCCTGTCCTCCAGAACAAGGACCACACACGTAACTCCTAGAAAGCTCTTCTACCACAGCAGGCCACCCTGTTCCCGTGGGTGTTCAACTTGTCGGTCAGCGGGCCAGGCAAAATGATGGGCCAGGACGACTTCTAACACCGCTCTGAACCATAACGTGGTCGCTCGGGGAAACCCGGGCCAGGTTTACGTGACTTGTCATCGCGCTTTAATAAAGCACTGAAGAATTGTTGAAGTGCTTACATATACAGTACAGCTCAACCTTCACAACAGGAATGTTGCTGTTAAGGCTCCCTATGAAAGAGAATACCTGAATCTTTGGTAACACTGTTTTAATTGAGTAAGCTTTCACTGCATTACCAAAAGGTTTCATTTCAGAACAGTATCACAAAAAAAAAAAAAAAAAAAAAAAAAAAGCTGAATCTGTAGAATGTGAGAGCTAAGAACAAAAATTCTTACCAAAACCAGGTTAATAGGATTAGCACGTATGAAACCAACCCTAAGCACAAGCCTGGATCTTAAATGGAAAGCAGATGACTTTTAGGGGAAAAAACAAAAACTCAGCTTTAACATTTTTGCTAATTACATTATAGTGCTCCTAAATACAAATTTGGTACCAACTCTCTCCCTGAGAAGAGTTAGATATTGGTCACACAGTGTCTGTTAGACAGCAAAAGCCAGGTTCCTATCCCAACTCGCCACTCAGGTTGATTACTTACATTATTGACCAAAGTATCTTCCATCTTTGCATTATTAGTAGCCACAGTGTTAGGCAGAGAAGAAGAAGGTGTGGTATAGTCTGTTACAGACTCCTGTGGAGTAGTAATAGAAAAAAACACGTTTCAGACTGAATCAATGAGCCACCTTCTAAGGGCAGCCGAACAGCTACAACGTCGTGGAGAGCGGGGGAGGAGAGCAGCCCTTAAGCGTCACCTACCTCAAACCTTGACCAATACCCACAGTGGCGAAAACAAACATGAACTACCACCAAAATGACACCATTTGCACTCTTGCTGGGGTCCTCTACATTTTTACAACATGTATTGGGGGGAAAAAAAGCACTGCATACTATTAGGACGTTGCCAACCAACAGAACTCGATGTGTCATTTCCGTGGATTACTCAAAGAACCTGTGTGTGGGCCTCACGCTCTACCATGATCTACTGCTTACTTTCAACTGTTGATTTTTTTATTTTCTTCAAAATAAAACAGTGTAGGTAAATGAATATCAACATCTTAGCTACTGCAATTCACTAGGATTTAGGATGAACTTCTTATCATAGTGAAACTTCCCTTTACATATGGTAGAACTGAACCATATGAACTCTTACAAGAGAAATATGCAAATAATACAAAAGATTCCCTCCACCTTTCTTCTCAATGAGCATGTGTCCTAGAACAGCAGACGGGAATCTGCTGCTCCCACGAGTGCTAATTCCTTTAAGTTACATAATGAACTTGCTCAATGAGTTTTAAATGTATGTATCTCTCATTCAATGCGGTTCCTAAGTGCAAGGCAACTACTTCCTCTGGTGCTCAATCAGTGAAACAGTGATCTTTTCCAACCCTGCAAGAAAACTGGCTATACTGAATTACTAAAGCTCGCTTAGTTCCTGACTTCACAATCTCACTAGTGGGCAAAATAAGGCTTTACTGCAACTCCGTGAACAAAAGAAAAAGTGACGCAGGTCAACTCTTCCAAAGCCTACAAACCCAATTAAAAACATTTTAATCTGGTGTGGACATTTTTCACTTTGAACTACCGAATGGTCCGGACATGAGAGTCAATTTCTACAGAAAGAATAATTTATTGTAAGGAATTTCTTTAGATCACATACGCGTATCATGGAACAAAAACCTTCTCTTTAGAAATACTGTAATAACCCATATAGTCTACAGAATTATATGGCTCAAGGGAAAAAAAAAGGCAGAGGGCTGTGGCTTCAGACATAACTTGCGTGAGCTGCACTGGGAGCGCCTGCGCGCTGCTCACCTTCACGTTAGAGGCATACTCTGCAGATGACACGGAGATCATCGGGCCGATCTCTGTGGACATTTCTGAAGCTGCTTTGGTTTCCTTTGCCGCCACAGGATCTGCGCTTCTGACTGCGGCCGGGCTCGGTTTCTCTTGTCCTTCTGGCTCCACCTGTTGGGCGTCTTTTACTTTTCTATTTTTTAGTGACCGTTCTTTTCCAATAGGACCAGGCTTATGTTCTTTGTTTTCAACTGGACTCAAGTCTGGAAGCTAAAAGTCAAAGTTCATAGCAAAAAGACATCACGATCAAAGGCATTCACTGAACACCAAACTCCACCTAGAACCATTACCTGCTCCCATTAAGTGCTCGTGGTTTTGATACAACGCCACCTGCAGTGGGGACTGTGTTTACCTTCTGGGCTTTGATGGGGCCTGCCCGTGGCTGCTTCTGCCGCTGCTCTTTAGGTTCAGGTATTTTATCAGTAGTTTTTTCCGAAAGCACAGGAACAATTTCATTTTCGTTCCCGTTCGAAGCTGGAGCACCAAACTGAATTGTGTCAATCCCAATTTCAACTCCACTTTCTTGACCATTCTTTGTTCTCTAGTAAGAGAATATTTAAAAACTTGCTATGAAAACAGAGTTCAGATCGGACAGAATGAGTTACGCAGCAGCACACATTTTAAAGTTTATTAGCAAGGTTTGAGGCAACCTATGAACTGAGATTAACTGACGTTATGCTTTAAGAGATCTTCTCTTTAACAACAATTATTTGAATGTATTAGGAAAAAAACTGGTAAAATGAAAACTAGGATAAGACTCAAGTTTTTAAAGTCCTGACTTTATGTGTCCTGAGTGTGATCAGGGGCCAATCAGCCTTAGGTTATTTCATCACATATATGGTTCTAAAAGCACCAAACACAGAAAGATACCATCAGCAAGAAACAGACAGATGAATGAATGAATGAATGAACGGGGGAGAGAAGACAGCAATGCCAGCGTTGCCTACTTCTAAGTGTGCTTTGAAAACAGAATAACAATACTTATTTACGTAGCACCTTCTGTGTGCTAGGCACCGACACAGGCTTGGGCAACCTAACTCACCAAACTTACATTATAATGATTGGAGGAAATAAACAACCCAAAAGTTAGATAACTTAGCTATGCAATAATTAAACTATGGTTAAGCCACTTCAGATTGGTCGATGGAGAAAAGCCCCAGGAGGTCACACTGAAAGCGTTTCTGGCAGAGCAAACACCTAGGAAAAAGGTCCAGCGTGAGCAAGGCTGGCAGGGCTGGAACACAGAAGGTTAGGGACAGTGGGAGGAGATGAAGGAGCAGAAAGGGAGGCGGCACAGGGCTTTGGAAGCCAGAGGATGTTTGTAACCATTACTTAATCTTTTCATGGAAGGACAAATGAAGAAACAAAACCAGGGACGAAGTTCAACTTGAGTCCCTCATCTTACAATCGAATCACCACATTATACCATTTTTGGACCCCCTGAACTTAGTGTGCCAATTCCTGTGTAAGGTTACTGGTGTATTTATCAGTGTAACAATGCCAACGGGATTAGTAAGGCATGTTATTCAGATTTATTTTTAATATCTGAATACCCACTTTCACATACAAGTAAACAATGACGTAACTTAGAATAAGAACTTCTATGTGCTTTAGTTGATGTTGAAATGCTACTGTGAGGTCAGTATAAATGTAGTATTAGAAGAGCAAATGGCAGGAATTAATGAGTGAAAGCTATTAATTTTGTGTACCAAAAACAAATAAAAACTGGTAAGAACTGACAATTAATACAACTATTTATTAGACAGTTTTAGGGAGACCATTATACCCTTTGAAATAAAAATGTTTAGGAAATATATGTAATACAAGGAAGGAAAAGAAAGCTTAGATTATAATATTGATCATTGTGAATCTACTTAGTGTAACTAACATTCATAGTATTAAAATATTAATCATGAAGAACTCTATTTCACTAGTCATTCAAGAAGTCCCATTACAAAATATTTTTCATCCAGTGAAATAATTTAAAACTAAACTACCAACTTTGTTGATTCAAAATTTCACAAGGAAATGCTCCAAAGTCATGGACAATAAACACATCATCATCACAAAATCTCATTCTAACCAGAAAAAAACAATAAAATGAAGGAAAAAAAGGGATACCAAAATATCTTGCTCCTCCTACCTGCTGAAGGCAAAGTAAGCAACCTTTTAGTATTGCAAACTTGTTGCAGATTGCAAGAAAAACCTTGCAGCTGAGAGTGTGGAGAAATTGCTATGCCTGTACTTTATATAAATTAAACACCTGGACCAAACATTTTAAAATTACAAAATCTGGTGCACCCATGTAAAGCAAAGAAACAAACCCTCCACTTTATCCTTCATGTCAGCATAAAAATCTTGAACCTTCAGGGCAAGAAATGCTGTAATTAATCATAATGTCAATACTACAGGTAGAATAGAAAGAATTCAGCTGAGATCTTAAAATATGGAATCCAGTGACTGTTAATTCTACTTGTACCAGGAGTTTCTCTGTGGAACATTTAAAATGGATGAGGAGGCCTCCCCAGACCCATGTCAGAAGCTGTAGCGGGGGGAGGGGCAGCAGATAGAGTTCTTTAAACAAACCTCAACTACATCTTCATCTACCACCCCACTTCTCTGCTCCTCCTCTAGAGCAAAGCCATGTTCTCTATGCTCTTCTTCCCTGCCAATTTTCTTACATGCACTGTGGCCAGCCCGCCGGGCTTCCCCACCTGCCTGCAGCCCCACCGCGCGGCTCCTGTCCAGGTCGCCTGCGGCCTCCACGCGGCTAATCCGACTGTCAGTCCGCATGGCCTATCTGACTTGACCTGCCAGCATCTGACACACGTGATGTATCCCTTTCTTTCAACTCATTTTTGCTTGGTTTCCAGGTCACCTTTCCAACCATTTAGCTTTTCCCATCTCTTGTATCTCCCTAGGACTTGAGTTTTTAATTCTCTTTTCTTTTTTACTTATAACTCAGAATCCTTTGGTGATCTAGCTCATCCAACTTCAAGGAACATCTAGTGACTTTCAAATTCATGTCTCTGAACTAGCTCATCTCCTCTGAACTGATATCCAACTATGTACTTGACAAGTTCACTTAGATGTGTAGTAAACACTGGAACTCTGACATGCCCAAACTGCCTTCTCTTACCTTCTCTCCCAATGCTGATCCATTCCATAGTTGCCCAATCTCAGTTGAGGGAAACGCCATTCTTTTTGCTCCAATCAAAAACTTTGGCGATAACTCTGACTTCTTGTGCTCCCATACATTTAATCTATCAGTGAATGTGTCAGCTCCAAATACTCAGAAACCAACTATTTCTCATCCACCTTTAGTGCCACATCCCAGGAGTAAGCGATCATCGTTCTGGTCATTGCAATACTTCCAATCGCCTACTCTTTTGCCCCCACACCGACTTATTATTTTTAACAGACTACCCAGAACAATCTTTTGTAAGTCAGAGCCTGTGATTCTTTTGCTCAAAACTGTTCACTGTATTCCTAGGTCTCCCAAGGCCTCACAGGACCCACCCCCTCTCGTCTTCCCACCTTCACCTCTTGTCTCCTTCCCTTATTCCACATGGGCCACAGGACCCCCCTTGGCTTTCCTCAAACACACAAGGCATGCTTCTTCTCAGGTTTTCGTATTTGCTATTTTCTGAACCAGGAATTCACTTCTTCTCCGACGTGTGAATAGCATGCTCTTACCTCCTCCAAGTCTTTAACTTGAACATCACCCAGGCAGCCTTTCACGGCCACCATTCCACACTGTCTTCATACCCCTTGAGAAGCCCCCCAGGCACCCTCCGTGTGTTGCTCTTACTTCAGCACTGACTGCCATTTAATGCAATATATGTTTATTGCCGGCTCCCCTGCAATACAGTGGCCGCCGCCTGAGCACAAAGCTTTTGGTCCATTCCCCACCCCCATCCTAATCCCATAGGTTAGAACAGTGCATGCGAGGCTGCCGACGCTCAATGCTCACTCCGTGAATAAATGAAGAATTGCTCAGCTAAGTAGTATTTACCTATAAGGCACATCTGAGAAATTATGTTAGAACAATCTCCTGTAAACTCTACTTCTAAGTCATTATACTGCCTAATTATTCAAGCTAAAAAGTGGTAGGAAAGTCGAGAAAATAAAATAGTAAGTGCGCTTAAAAAAAAACATTAACCTTCAGTGTCTAAACACAAGCAGCAGCTTATAGATGCAGACATCCCACGGCAGTAACGGCACTCGGGAACTGTAAGCAACGTACTCAGGCCTCAACCCAGACCAGCAAACCAGAAACCCTGGGTGCGGGGGGTTCGGACACAGGCTGACGCCTGAGAAGCTGTTTAAACCAAACTCTGCCCGAGAATCCCCACCAAGACCACCAGCAAGCCTATCCCTACCTCTGAGGAAGTAGGCGATCCAAACGACGTTAGAGGCTTGTTCCAGGCACTGACTGAAGGAGGCTGTGGTGGACTGATGGGCCCTACTGAAGAGAGGAAGCCATAGGAAATGGGACCATTAAAAGAAGAGGCTAATAATTCAGTCTATTTTACCTCCTCTTTAACAGTAGCTAGACAATTAAAAATTAAAAGTTACCTTTTCATACCATACTCACACCAAAATAAACATAAGTCCCCCAAACACTGTGTATTGCTTTTATCAACATATAAAACATGGTTATTAAAAGTATAACACACTTGTTTTAGAACCCAAAGTTTTAGGAGAGGAAGTTAAGAAAAGGGAGTGACTTAAAAAAAATACTAAATACATGAATAAAACTGGAAACCAACCACAGCAGCCTATGCAGCCTCCAGCGCCCACCCCACCGCCGCACACTTACGTTTCTTAGAGACGTCACTCAGCACCGCTGGGGGGGCCACCTTGTTGTCCCACAGCTCGGTGGGAAGAGGGCCATGCGGCTGTGAGGTCTGGATGGCCTTTCCTGGGGCTACATAATCGGTGCCGTTGGGAGTCTGAGCTGAAGGTAGTCTGATGGAAGGGGGTGGCTGTTTTGAAGGCTGGGTTGCACTCTGCAGGGGACTCGGGACTGGCTTGTGAGTCTGTCCCTGAGTCTGGGGTGGGGTGGAAGGGCCGGGGCCTGGGATGGTGACAGTGACGAGGGCTGGGGCTGGCACGGGGGTCGGCGCTGGGAGTGAGGTCGGGGCTGGGATCGGGGTTGTGCTGGCTGGGGCCACTGGGGCTGCGCTGGCCGGAGGTGGAGCTGAGGTTGGCGGCAGGGCTGAAGCCAGAATGGGAATGGAGGCTGAGGCAAGGATGGGGACAGGGGCCGGGGCCGAGGCCGAGGCGAGCATTGGGCTGGGGGCTGGAACTGAAGAGGTGGCGGCTGGCACAGGGGTTGGGGCCGCAGCCGGGAGTGGAGCGGAGGCCGAGGGCAGGCCCGGGGCCGGGGCCGTGGCCGAGGCCGAGGCCGAGGCCGAGGCTGGAACTGGAGCACAGGGTGAGGGAGAGGCCGAGGCTGGAAGTGGACCCGAGGCCGAGGACGAAGCTGGACCTGAGGCTGGACCTGGAGACTGTGCTTGCTGGGTCCCTGTTGCCTGTTTTTTGGCAAATCTTGGGGGAAGCTTGGAAGTCTGACTTCTTCCTTTTTCATTGGCATTTTTTTTGTTCCAGACCTTTAAAAATCAGTGGAAAACATTTTTGTCAACATAGCTCACAGTAACAGTTCATAAATATGATTTCTAACAAACCTACCTACTGCTAATTTAGCTCCTATACTTTTCAAAACACGTACTTCACAGAGCAAACATGTCAAGGCTGCTAATGAGACTTTAAATGCTGAGAAGCCAGGATGTGATTGGGGAAAAAAAGACAACTATGTTATACATTCTTGATACAAAAGGCCACAATCTCCTTTCCACAATTCTGAAATTCAAAAAATTAAGCAAGTTTTCTGTAAATTCATCTGGCAGCAAAATATGATCTGACGAAAAGCTGCTATTGACCTAACTCGTGTTTGCCACAGATGCATTAATTCTGGGGTGCTGCTCGGGCGCTAAGCCACACAGGCCACATGCACTACTAGTTTTACCGTCCCCAAGATAAGAATACATGAGTGACTCCTGAAATTACCTACTTATATACAGTCTGATTCAGTATTGTCATCCACTCAAGATTTTCAGTTTCCTGTTTTGAAGCCTTCTCACCTATTACAGCTGTAGCACTATGATTCATATGCTCTACTTATTTTTACCCTGTGTCAGCATTTAGCAAAATGGGTGTTTGGCTTGATTTAAATGAAATAATTTATTTATGCTGTGTTTAATCAAGTGAACTAATTTAGATTACAATACAAACTTTCTAAGTCAAGAATCTGCAATTTATCAGACCCTGACAGTTGTGTCCGGAGTGGAGCCAGACGGGGTGAACAAGACGACCGGCTCTGGGGCATAGCACACGGTGTTCAAGCAGAGATGGTCTGCGCCAGGCCAAACCGTGATTGAATTCCAGTTACAACTCATCGCAAGTCTGGCTAAAAAGCTTAAAGTTATGAAAATCATGTCATTCTCAATACCTGAATAATAAATACAGCCTTGACTTTCCAGGAAGACAGAAACCTCAATCATCTGCTAATGTATTCTGGGCAACAATCTAAATAATAATCAGCAACAAGTTGAAACACTAAACCTGTATAACTTGTTCTTCCTTCTTCCGGCGTTCCTCGTCCTGTAACCGTTTTTGCTGTTTTTTGGACACAACTTCAGTAAAACCGTCATCATTCAAATTTGACTGCGGGTCTTCAACTACTGTTACTTCAGGATGGTCATCAATTATAACCACACCTACGGGTATGGAAAACGATTTAAAATATTTTTTAATAGAAAAAATAGGAATGTCTACTTCAAAACACATCACAAAGATCTAGTTCTTATACTTCTGTGTAACCCATCTCTCATACCATAGGATGTCCATTTATTAGTAAGACTTGAAAATATTTCATAAACAAGGTTAAAAAGTCCTAAAATAATCTGCTTTGAATGATTTATGTCTTCTCTCCTTAAGCAATACAGTGGTAATGTATTTCTAAAAAATCAGAATTACCCTATTATCATCCAGTCAAATCCCTTGAACTCCTGCCTTTCCCAGCCTGAGGCCTGTACTGTGCTGTAAAGATCTACGTAGTACTTTACCCCATTGGCATCGAACCACTCTAAGGGGTAGGTCTGCTGTTTTTCTTCTTCAAAGGAGACAACAAGCTATGATTTGCTAGGTGAGGGTTTGACTATCCAACCTGACCCTAGAACTCTTACTGCCTCTATTTTACACGACCACTGTCCACAGTGTTTAGATGTTAAGAAGAGTGGTGTGGATGTGTATACATGATAACACTGCACATGAATGACTCTCCTCATTGTCCGACTAACAATTTTTCTGGCTATCTTGTTAAATTTATCATATATCCTAGGGAGCATAAGAAATCTAGATACATTAAACAATATTACAAAAAATGAAATAGTTCAGGTATACAGTATCTAACACCTAGGTTTCCCATTACTACTACCTGGTCTTCGTTTAGTAAATCTCTGCATTTTACTCTGTATTTCCAGTTTAAGTCTCATGTGAGCCAGTGCCAAATAGCTCATTTTCACCTGTGTCTACTCAAAGACATTCCTTGCCTTCCTCATCAAACACTGTCGTCTTGCCTGTGACATCCTTTGCACTTGTTATCCAATCATTCCATGGTTTTCTGAAAAGTATCCATAGCAACACTGCCTCCTTCCTGTTATTTATTCTCTATTGACTGTACCTTAGATACTAATTTTATCAAGGTCACAACTCAATGAGGTTTTAATATTTCATTCAAGACACAGCATATATACACAGATGTTATTTTAGTTCAAATTATATCAGTTAGTGATTCATATTCGGCTTCTATTGCTATCTTGTAGGTTCAACTCTTCCCTTCTTTGATAATGTCTTTATAGCATCCACATCAGTAAAACAAGCAGTTAAATAGGTGAATAAATAAATGCACCCTAAGACGTACTTGCATAATTGTTGAGATCGAACTGTGACAGGGCGTCTACTTTCTCTTTGGGTTTCTTGGGGCCCGGCTTGGGGTCTTCTCTTTTCTTCCCCGTGGACTCTCTGGCGGTCTTCTGTCCGGTACCATTAGGCGCGCCTTCCTGGTGGTGTGCAGAGCTGCCACCGACAGGGTCGACGCCAGGGGTGCCTGCAGCCTGGTCATCAAATGGCCTAAAAATGGTAACATGAAACATTACTACTGCCATGCCCCAGGGTGGGGGGTGGGGTGTCTTTACTGGAAGTTTTTAAAGTTTAGCCTAAGAAGAAACAGCAGTGGGATAGAAGACCTTAACTCAAAACCAACAAGCCTTCGTGACTTGGGTTGAGCAGAACATCACTAAAACTGAGCTTTCCAAGGAAGGAGATGGACTAGCTCCCTAGGGTAGTCCTTTCAGCAATTAAATCCTAGAATTCTAATCATTCCCTGAAGGTTCTTATTTTGTCTATTTGTCTATCATGTTACAAATGCTACACAACACTGTTTATAACAGAGAAGTAATAACCCAAGCTAGTCCAAAATATTCACTACTGGATCTTCTCCAGAAGAGGGCAGCATATGATTTGAAAACAAACAAAGATTTGAGAAGCTTTCCGTGTATGTTTTTTAAAGTTCAGTAAGATTTATACATTGATGTAGACATATAAAACATTTTTATATGGAAATAATTCACCTCACAAAACACATGCATGTCTACAGTTTTTGTTTCGTAACAGATGACTTACAAAACATTCATTTGAACTACAAGCTGATGTTTCTGCAGGTTCAACGTCATCAGCATTTACATGGCACAAGTCTTGCTAAGTAGCTGAAATCTACACTGCACAAAAATCTGCTCAAGGTTACCTTAAGTATTATTCAAAATTCTAACAGTTCAGGTATAGTCAGTAACTATATTGTACTGTAACTACACATTATCCTTCTTTTGGACTCTGTTAAGCATAATCTCAAGAAACACGACTAGCTGCATTATCTCCCTAGAACTTTTTCTAAATTATCAGAAAGCAAAAATGTTTTCACTGAAGGATGTAGTAACCTGAAATGCTAAGCATGTGCAAATAACCAATTAACCAATGCAGATTACTATAACATTATCTTAATAAATTTATCAGCTCAGGCTGAAAATCAGGGAATTTGGTCCAAAAATTTAAAAATAAAGGGCACATCATGATAACAGTTGCTTACTATATAAACCAGGTATTATGCTGGATGCTTCACAAATACCACATCAGTATCTTCACGCATTTCTTAAGTATTACTACTTTCTCCCCATTTTACTAATGAGGAAGCAAAGAGTTTATACAACTAGTACCAGAGCCTATATTTAAAATTAGGCATACTGCTATTTTATAATTTTCTAACACTAAATCAATAACTTACTATAACTGACTAACATTTAATAGAAGAGATTAAAGTTTAGTGCAGTTTAGGAAAAGATCTCTAAAAAAATCCAATGACCTGGTATTTGTCATTGGTGGCCTTGGTGCTTGGGCAGAACTTTGCTTTCTGGGTTTCTCTTTGGCTGGATCACTTATTGTAGGTTTGCAGCTAGAGGGGATATTACGTTATCCTTAAGCGCCCACAGTCGCTCTCTACGACACAGTGTGATACAGTGTATGCTGTGACACAGGGCTTCCAGAGGACGCGTGCGAACCCCGGAGTGCATGGAAAAGGTAGGTGGCCTACTCAGCAGCAGCAAGGAGAGGACTAATCAAAAGCAGGGCGCAGGACACGTCCCACCCTGGGTGCACAGAAGCTGCAAATCCCTAGGAGGCCTCCCCCAGAAAACGAGCAGGCAGGGGCTCCCGAGACACGGTGAGTCCTCCTCTACCTAGATGTCTCCTTTGCACAGTTCAACCACGAAGTCTGCTTCGGGTCTCTGAACATGTGAAGCAATTACATGGGAAATGAAGTAACTCACCCGCGCTTCCCGCTTTTGGACGGAGGGCCACTTCTCCTTTCATTCCTAGGACCTGAGAAATTCCTTCCAGACTTGGGTGGGCCACCGTTGCCACGCCTATTCTGGCGGTCCACGCCAGGTCTCTGACTAGAAAAACTTCTCTTTGCTATTTCTCTTTTTGGGGCTGAAACATTCTCTCCAGCTTTCACAACAGCCTGTGCATTCAAGTCAGCATTTTTTTTCTCATCCCTCTCCCGTCGCTCATTGAAATCGCTGCTTTCCGAGGCTGTTTCCCACTCTTCATTCGCCTGATCTGAAGAGTTCTGATTGGATAAATCTGGTGTCTTATTCCCAGGAACATCCCCAGCAGCAGTAACTGGCTCCTGAGCCACAGCGCTCACTGTGCCGTTGGCAGGCAATGCAACCTCGTTGGTCTTGGAGGCCGCCTCCCGTTCTCTGAGCCGTCTAAACCGAGGTGGCTTGTCTTGCCTGGGTGGTCGGGTAGGACGCTGTCTTCGGGGCCTCTCTCTAGTTGGGTCAAATTTTCGCTCAAACTTGGGAGGTCGTTTATCAGCTGGCACAGGAATAAACTGCTCCTGTCTCCTTGGTGGCTCTCCGTCATCTGGTTTAGGAGCTTCTACTTGCCTCGGGTTCCACTGATTGTCCCGATAGGCGGGTCTGCGCAGTGTGGAAGGGCGTGAGGGGCGGCCCCCAGGGTCCCTCCCTCCACGTCTGAACGTGCCCCCCCTGCCTCTCCTGGTGGGCTCTCCTTTAGGAAGGAAGCCTGGTTTAGATTTATCATCGTCCCTTATGTACGGTTTGTCCAGAGGCCTGTTATCTACTCGGACGTGACTTTCGGGCTTGAAGGATGGCTGAGGCTTTCCAGGTTTTTTGTTCTCAGACCGCTCCTCTCTTTTGGGAAGCTTTCCTTTGCTTAAACTGTCCTTGTCACTTGCACTTTCATGAATTTCACTGTCAGTGTCAGTCTCGGAACCTCGCTGTCGCCTTCTTTTGGGAACGACTTCAAAATCAGAGCTCTCGCTGCGGGTCTCACTTTCCTCCCGCTGCCGCAGCGGCCCCGAGGGCACAGGCTCCACGCGGGGCTTGCTGTCCCTGTACTGTGGGTAGTCGCGTGTGTGCCCGCGCCCGCCACGGCCCCGCCCCCCGTAGGAGCCTCGATAGCTCCGGCCTCGGGAGTAATACTCTCCTCGGCCACGGCCTCTGTATCCTTGGTCTGGGAACCAGTCCCTGTCTCTGGCTTCTTTCCAATAGGTCCTGGGAGGTAAAGCTGACTCTTTTTTAATGGTTGGTCTCGAATCTGGTCGAGGCCTCTCCGTGACAAGGTCTTTGCCGACAACTTTCTCAGGCGGCTTCTCCTCTTTGATGGCCGGTGCGGTGACAGTCTGACTTACAGTTTTGGCCGCGGGCTCCAGCTCTGCACTGCTTCCACGCTCCGAGGGCTTCTCTGTCTCCTGAGGCGGCTTCTGCACCAACACGGGCGGTTCTGCTGAAGGCAGCTTCTCCGGTTCTGGGGGAGGAGGTGGTGGAGTGGACTGGGGCTGAATGGGTGCTGCAGGGGGTGGGGGCGGAGGAAGAGGATCTTTCTTTTCTGTTTTTTCCAGTTTCACAACCTTCTCAGTGGGCTTTTCTCCCTTTTCTCCTTCCTTCTCCTTCCTCTGCTCTCGTTCCTCCTTCATATCTCTTAGCACAGGTTTTTTAATGGGACCCGACCTTCTCACAGGCCTATCGTTACCGTCTTCTCTCCTGTTGGAGCTTGGCCTTGGGCCCCAGCGAGTTTCCGATTTAGGTTTATACAGCTTTTCTGGTTTTGGTCCTTCAGAAGATCGTATAAAGCCATCCTTTTTCGGTTTGTCCTCTGACCTTTCTGCTTGTTCTTTTGAGTCAATGCACCGGCTGGTGACCTTGGGAATGCTTGCAGACGGCTCGTGTCTCTGCTCCTCTGATTTCTGAGCATGGTTAGATCCATGGGAGACACTTCTTTTCCGGGCAGGCTGACTTTCTCCAACTGAGATTCGCTCTTCTTGAGGAGCGGAGACAGTCTTTTGATCAGGTGCATCAAAACAAGATGGCTGGCTATTTGTGTCAGCGTGGTGAGGTCGAACGTCTTCCACAGATCTGCTTAAAAACTTCTGTACTTCGGCCTCACCAGATTCTCGAATAAAGTCCACCTTCGGATGTGCCTCTAAATGACTATGTTCTACAGGATAAGCAGCAGTTACCGGTTCCTGATCCAATGGGGCTTCAGGCCTAGGGAAATGAGAATTCAAAGGCATAACCATCAAGGCAAAATCTTTCTCACATGCACTGCACAGCAAAATAATTTTAAAATAAACTAGATTCTAATAATAAAGAGCATCTTCATGTCTCTATAAAGTTTAGTGCAGCATTATTCAAAATAGCTAAGGGGCAGAAACAACTTAAATGTCCCTGACAGATGAGTAAGTTAAGAAAATGTAGTATATATACATAAAATGTATTGTTATTTAGCCATTAAAAACAAACCCAAAAAAACCCCCCAAACACCCCCCCCCAACAAGAAAATCCTCTTATAAGCTACCACATGGATAAGAACATTATGCTAGGTGAAATCAGTCAGTCATGTGAGGACAAATGCTGCACGACCCCACTTATGGAAGATCTATCACGGAACCAACCTCATCCAAGCAGAAAGTGGAACACAACCTGCCAGGGGCTGGGGAGACGGGGCATGAGGAGCTGCCACTCACTGGGGGCACATTTTGGTTGGGCAAGATGAGCAAGCTCCAGAGCTCGGCTCTGCGGCACTGCACCACACACCCAGGTTTTGTTAAGGGGTTGTGTCCCCACCCCGCCCCACAATTAAAACCTTAAAGTTCCTTCCTTTCTTCCATGCATGCTGATGGGACTTTTTATCCAGCAAGACTAGTAATTCCCACCTACAATCCAAGACTAGCTTAAGTAGGTCTATCTTTCCCAAAGAATCAGAATCATAAAATAGAATTTATGCCCTTTTGTACATTATAACTTTTTGGATATAAATTAAGACCAATTGTCTGCTACTTCCAAGTTTCTATGTAAATTAGATGGTCTTATGTTCGCTTTAGAAAACGTCCACAAGATTAAATGCCTGCCACTTCTCATTAGTGGAAGAATTACATGAACACTTCAACCAGACTATGTCGATTACCTAATCAATGGTTAGAAACCCGCCCATTTTAACATGTAACACTAAATTTCAGCATTTAATTCAGTGTACAGAACTAGTTTACAAAACGCCCCAATTAATACCTCAATGTGAGGAAAAAGAATCCACACGTGAAACGACACACACATGAAACGGGAGGATGTCAGCTTTGGGGCCCAGTCCTGAACCCAAATGACCTTCAGCACCGCCGCCCAGGACCGCCTCCCCACACTGCTCTCCCACTGACTGGCAGTGCCCGTAGTTACCTCCCTGTCTCGGGCTCTCCCGCGGCCTCGGCGGCCGGGGCCTGCTGCGGCTCTGCACGTGGGCAGGGCTCTGACCCCCACACCACCCGAGGCTCAGGCAGGGGAACTGCGTGGTCTCTTGCCGACCGAGCCATGTGCTCGAATGACTCAGAACTGCTGGGAGACCCTTCCATCTGGTCTCTTCTCATCAGTGGCTTAGGAGGAATCATTCCTGCACAGAAGGTCAGAGAAAGATGGGAGGTGGTGGGGGGAGGGTAATGAGAGAAAGAAAATCAGAGAGACACGGAATCTAGGTTAATTGCTATTTGGTATTCTTTATACTGAAGTTAAAATATTTTTTGTCAGCTAAAACCGAGGAACTCAACAAATGATCATTGACAATTATAATGAATAAAATTCTTATTGTTGCTGTTAAATTAACAGATTTAAGAACTGAGGAAGCAAATCAAGCAAATCCACAACAGCAACCTCTTTTACTTTATAGGAATGAAAATGTAATCAGATAAGCAATGTAACTCTTTGCATGTTATTACAAACATAATGAGAATTACGCCAACAGTGATATATATGTTCAGAGAGAGTAATTCCGTATAGAAAATTCTATTCACTTAGTTTAGTTTATCGATATGCAATAAATTATGCCTTTTAAATTTAAAAATTTCAAAATCACTATGGGATCCTTGATCATGTTTTTATCGCCTATTAATTTTCCTTGATATCATTTTGATAATGGATTGTCTGGATTTATTGATAGGTTCCATAAAAGACTGTTTGTCATTTGTTTTAAAATAAATTATGAGGAAGCAAGTGTCAGGTTGGTAAATGTTGGAGAAAACTGGTAAGCTTGAACATGTAACATACAGAAAAATTCAAATGCTGCAACGAAAGAATAAAAGCAATGTAGCAAATAATAGATATTGTTAATAAGAGTAATTTTCCATCTTAAAATTTTTACATAACATATACAAAACAAAATAACTAGTAATCTGATCTTAACAGTTAAATGTCTGGCATTTAACTACTCTGCTGAAAGTTGCATAATTTTATGATTAAAAATCTAGGGGTCTCTAAGTTCTTACTAGATTTTAACTCTCAACGGAATTAAGACTAAATATAGGGGTAAAAAAATGAAAACCTGATCTCACTTAACTGCAAGAGGGCTACACAACAAAGCAGATTTCAACTCACCAGGATGAATGGGAGGAATGTCCATAGCAGGTCTACCTGACATCATCCGGGGATCCATGTAGGACTGCATCATGAGCCACCTCGGGTCAAAGCCCATGGACGCCAAGTGCTGAGGGTGGGGCTGCATGGGCTGGTACAGAGGGCGGTGTGGTGGAGGCGGGACGGCAGCCCCAGACGGCTGGGAAGGAACCGCCTGGGGAAGGACACCTTGCTGCTGCTGCTGCTGCTGCTGCTGCTGCTGCCACTGCTGCTGTTTCATCTGTTCCTGAAAAAACAAGGTCCCACAGCTTGAGATTCTAGTTCCACGTAATACATTAACAGGACCAATCACATCAGAAATAACAGACCTTTTTTTAATCCTTCAGGAAAAAGAATGAAAAGACATTTAACAGTGTCAAGTGGCAAGACAAAAGAACAAACGACAAGTTACTGCACCTTGACTTAAGCACCTAATCACTTGTCAATTACACTGCAGAAGCCACTCCCTAGGAAGGGATGGGGTGTCCATAAATGAGGCAGAGAGAAAAACGACACAGAATCCATATGAGAAAACGTTTGAGAGAAAATCAGTGTGCTGTGTATTCTATGCCTTACGCCCAATTATTTCTCAGACTACTGAGCAATAAACCTTTTCAACTGTACATGACAAAATGTTTTCACTGTTACCTGCTGCCGCTGGAAGCGTGGTGGTAAAGACTTCTGAAATTGTTTGAAATAACCAGAGAGAACAGCAGGCCGGGGCTGGGAACCTGATTCAGGCTCCGTTTCATGTGCCGCTTGCGTGGTCTCTTTTTCACTGCGATTGCTGTCTTGTCTAGTGAAAACCGAGTCGCCCTCTGCCCAAAGAAAATATAAAAGATAATGACATTTTATCTGTAACCCTTATCAAATACATAATATTTGTGCTGAAGTGAAATTATTAGATATACAAAGAAAGGTAAGGAGGATAAAACCATCCTCAATATTCCAAAACACTGTGTTCTATTCTAATATTGGTAGCCATCAACGAAATAACTTTAGATTAACAAAACCTTTGATTTCCTCAAAGGTGGATTCTTATTAACACTAAGATTGCAGGTCCAAGTGTTTCACCAAACAAAAATCTGTATTTGATATTTTTATAATAAAACATTTCAATATTAATAAATATTAATGTTGCTGTCAATATTTACTTGTTCACAAGGACTTGTAAAAATGCAAATGGCCTATAAATACTTAAAATAGAACACACTGGTTTGAATTTTTTTTTTTTTTTGATAAACACAAGACAATGAACGAAAGTCTGATGATATCAGAGTGATCACTGGCTGTCTGAAAACATATGAGTCCTTATTCTACGTAAAGGGTGTCAAGCATGATCACACAAGAAGGAGAACCACACACATACCAAAAAGGAAAGTTTTCATCCCAAAGAAAACCAGATTCCTCTTTGTTCTACATAATGTCATTTGTCACAGTTACAAAGTCAAACCTGTTACACATTCTTTTCTCGGAGAACTAGGGATGAATCTTAAAAGGCAGTTAATTTTGCCTTTTAATGTAAAACTATACATTATGGTGCTATAAAGAACCACAAAACACATTTTCTTCTTGGCATTACATTCAATGTTAAGAATGTTGTAAAAGGGAAAATACAATACTGGAGGGAAAAAGAGAGCTTAGTAAAAATCAAATGGATGCACCTCACTGAAAACCCAGCTAAAAGTGAACCACTATCAGAACATACACTGTTAGAGAGTGTACAATTTCAATCACAATGAATGTGCCACTGAATAACTATTAAAAAAACAATTAATTTATGTGGGTATAGTCACCAATGACCCCTAAGTGAGTTAATCAAGATGAATACATGCCCTCACTGGCAGAACTAGGACTAAATTATGAATTCCCTCATTTCTTACCCATAGTCCTTTCTCATTAACTGTTCAAGAGATTCCCTATGATTGTTCTCTTTCAGCACTGAAGGTCACCGAATATAAATAAAAGCGTAAATCGAGTTTTCAAATAGCTTTGTAATATAATTTTAAGCTGTATGTAATAGAATCTTGCAGAAAAAGCACAGGGTTTTGGGTTCTTCTTTTAGTTCAAAAACGTTTTAATATTTTTAAAACAAAATACACTGAAATAAAATTACTTCCATTTTAACTCACCGTTAATTCCAACTAAGACTTTACTACAAGTTTGGAGCAAGGTGTTATATTACATTTTAATCCTATTAGTTAAGAGTTTATGAGCCGACTTGGGGAAGAACACAAGAGCTGAACAGAGCTAAAAGAGGCTTTTTAAAAAAGAGGCATAATTACAGTCTGCTAAGCCTATCAACTACACGATGGAACCTTTTATATTTAAACTGTTAGAAAAACAAAAGTAAGCCCTGGCTGGTGTGGCTCAGTGGATTTAGCGCTGTTGTGGTTCCCAGTCAGGGCACATGCCTGGGTTGCCGGCCAGGTCCCCAGTAGGAGGCAAGCAAGAAGCAACCACACACTGATGTTCCTCTCCCTCTCCCTCTCTAAAAATAAATACAATCTTTAAAAAAAAAAAAAGAAAAGAAAAGAAAAACAGAAGTGAAATTATGAACTGGGTACAGTCAATTATGACAATACAAAATTCCCATTAAGGTCTATTCAACATTTTTTTTGTTTGTTTTTAATGTTTACTCATTTGAGAGAGAAAGGGAGAGGGAGGGAAAAACGTTGATTGTCTGCCTCCCACTTTGGCCTTGACCAAGGATCAAACCCACAATCCAGGCATGAGTCCTGATGGAGAATTGAACCCTCAATCCTTTGGGGTATGAGAAGATGCTCCAATCAACCGAGCCAAACTGGCCAGGGCTCAACTTAAGTTTTAGAGGTATTTACACAAGTCAACATATGGGAGTTTAGTTAGGTGTCTTAGAATCAGCAGAAAAGCAGAATAACGAGCACATGATTATGAAGCCCCCACAATTCTGCAGACAAAAAGGGATTTAAGCTAGTCTACTAACTTTCAGAAACACTGGAGAATAACCCCGCCATCTTCCTTTCCAAAATGAAATAGTCTATTTCTTTCAACACATTTTATCATTAGTATAGAAAGTTCTATACTGCAAATGTTGTCTTTGAACACTTTCACATTAAACAGAGAGAACTCTGGGATGACGGTGGAATAGGAAATACCAGGAGTTTCTTCTCCAACTTAGACAACAATGACACTGTCAGAATCTGATGTAACTATCTTGGAATTCTACTGAAGGCCTCTAACTCCAGGGGAAGGCTTTGACAATGGGGTACAGTTAATTCCAGTCAATTAGAGCTCTTAAGCAAAGTACCAGTTACACCCCTCACCTCCCATTCAAATGCAGATTTGAGGAAGCAGAAGAAAGAGTAAGTGAACTTGAAGATAGAGCAATGGAAATTACTAAGTCTGAGGAACAGAAAGGGAATAGAAGAAAAGTAAACAGAGCCTAAGGGACACGTCCGCCAAGATCAGATAGATGAACATACACGTTGAGGGAGTCCAAAAGCAGGAAAAAGAATGGGGCAGAGAAAATATTTGAAGAAATAATGGCTGAAAACTCCTAAATTTCAAGGGAATAAGAAACAAATGTAAAGATCTGAGGAGCTGAACAAACTCTGAGACCAAACTGACACATTATAATCAAACTTCCAAAAGACAAAAGCAAAGAGAGAACCTTGAAATGAGCAAGGGAAGTCACAAATAAAAGGTGCTCAGCAAGATGGTCAGACTTCTCATCTGAAACACTGGAGGCTGGAAGGCCGTGTTCAAAGTGTTAAATAAGGGAGAAATGAAGACACTCGGAGATAAAAGCTCAGAGAGTTCATTACCATTAGTCCTGCCCTGTTAAGAAATGCTCAAGGGAAACCTGCAGGGTGAAATGAAAGGACACTAGACAGTAAGCCAAAGCAATGTAACAAAGAAAGATTTCATTAAAGATAAATATGATAACGATGATTATAAAAGCTAGTAATACAATAACGGAGGTATGTAACTTTTTCTACATGATGTAATAAAGTAAAAATAAACTATTAACCTAAAAGCTAGTATTATTGAACTCTGTATCTTATTTTCCACCTATCTTAGGAAATGAATACATTTTTAAAAATTAAGTTTATGATTTGGGGATATAATGTATAAAGATGTAATTCTGTGACATCAACAACCAAAAGGGGGGTGGGAACAGAGCTGTTGAAAAATGCAGGTTTCTGTATGTTACTGAAACTCAGTTGGTATAAATTCTTAGAGTGTTATAACTTGGATGTTAAGTGTAATCTCCATGATAAAAACAAAACCAAAAACAAGCTGTAAAATATAAACAAAAGGATATGAGAAAGAAATTGAACATTTTACCTCACAAAATCAAGTAAATACAAGACAGCAAAGCAAGAAACGAGGGACAAAATTCTATTAGGCATATAGAAAACCAATAGCAAAATGACAGAAACAAGTCCCTACTAATCAATACTTACTTTAAATGTAAATGCATTAAACTGGATTCCAGTGAAAAAGACAGACTGGCACAATGAATAAAAATACATGATCCAACTATAATGCTATCTACAAAAAAATTCACTTTAGATCCAAAAATAGAAATAAAGTACAAAGATACTCCATGAACACAGACACCAAAAGAGGGCAGGGTTGCTATACTAACATCAGACAGAATCAACGTTAAATCAAATACAACCATTACATATATTTACACACCTAGTAACAGACCAAATACTCATTTGATAGTCATATCAAAACATATGAAGGAAAATCCTGAGAGAACTGAAGGGATGGATAGACAGTTCTACACTAAGACCTGGAGACTTAAATACCCAACTCACAATAATGGTAGAATAACCGTAAAGAAGGTACGGAAATACAGGACTTAACACAATAAAGTAACTAGATCTAACATATACAGAACAGCAGCAGCAGCAGCATACACATTCTTCTCAAGTGCACATGGGACATTTTCCAAGATAGACCATATATTAGCACACAAACTAAGTTTCAAAAGATTTAAAAAGATAGGTATGACAGGGTATTTTCTCTGACCACAAGGGGATGAAGTTAGAAACCTGTAACAGAAGTATAACTGGAAAATCCACAAATCTGTGGAAAGTAAATTACACACTCTTAATTAAGATCTCAAATAAATAATCTAGTGTTACAACTTAAGGAACAAAAGAAGGAACCAACTAGACCGAAGGTTGAAGGTTACTAGAAGAAAGGGTATAATGATCACAGCAGGGATCAGGAAAAGAGAGAAGACTCACAGTACTGAATCAGAAGTAAAAACTGGGACATTACTACCAATTTTACAGAAATAAAAAGGATTATGGGAGTATTATAGACAACTGGTGCACCAACAAATTGGATAAACTAAATGAAATTATCACATTCCTAAGAGCACAAAACCAACCATGACTAAATCACAAAGAAATAGAAAATGTGAACAGACTTTTCACTAGTCAAGAGACTGACTTGGTAATCAGAAGTCTCATGACAAAGAAAAGCTCTGGCCCTGATGGCTTCACTGGTAAATTCTACTAAACATGTACAAAAGAATTAACATTAATTCCTCTCAAATTTTTCCAAATAGTTAAAGAGGAGGGACAATTTCCTAACTCATTCTGAGGCCAGCATTACCCTGATACCAAAGCCAGACATAAGACACTGCAATAAAACTACAAATATCTCTTATGAACACTGATCCGAAAATTTTCAGCACAGTAATAGCAAACAGAATTCAGTAGTGTTATTGAAAGGATTATACACCATGCCCAAGTACACTATATTCCTGGAATGCAGGGATGGTTCAAAATATAAAAATTGATTACTGTAATACACCACATGGACAAAATTTAAAAAACACATGATCATCACAATTGATGCAGAAAAGGCATTTGACAAATTTCAACACACATTCATGATAAAAACACTCAACAAGCTAGTAACAGAAGGCAACTACCCCAACACAACAAAAGCCATATATGAAAAACACCACACTCAACGGTGATAGACTGAAAGCTAAACCTAAGGTCAGGAACAAGACAAGGATGTCTGCGTTTGCCTTTTTTATTCAAGTACTGAAGTTCAAGCCAGAGTAATTAGGCAAGAAAAAATGAGTGAGACATCCAAACTGGAAAGGAAGACATTTTCACAGATGACATGATTTTATAATAAAAACTCAAAAGATTCCACAAAAACTGTCAGAACTAATAAATGAATCAACAAATTAGCAGATGTAAAATAAACACACAAAAATTACTTGTATTTCTATACACGAACAATATGAAAGGAAATTAGCACAATTCCATAGACTGAAGTATCAAAAAGAATAAAACGGTTAGGAATTAATGGAAAAAGTCAAAGATTTTCACAATGAAAACTACAAAATATTGCTGAAATTAAGTTACAGAAGACATAAATAAATGGATCTAAATATGGGAAGGAGTTAAAAGAAACTATTAGAAGTGATGGATTACCTATAGGGGTTGGGGGCAATGGTGTGAGCAAGAATTGAGAGCATTTTTTATCACCTTGAAACAGGTATATATCACCTTTTCAAAAAAATAAATAAAATAAATGGATCTATATCCCATGCTCATGGATTGGAAGACTTAATATTGTTAACATGTCACTAATACCCAAAACAACCTACAGAGTCCATCAAAATCCTGATGGCATCCTTTACTGAAATAGAAACACCCATCCTGTTATTCATATGAAATCCCAATGCACCTAGAACAGCCAAACAATCTTGAAGAATGGCAAAGATGGAAGACTCTCACATCCTGATTTGAAATACTTCCTACAGGGCTATAGTAATAAAGACAGGGTGATACTGCCATAAAGGCAGACACAGGCTGATGGAGTAAAATACGGAGTCCCAAAACCAACCATCGGACATACGGTCAAATGATTTCAGACAAGGGTGCCAAGACCCCTCAATGGTGAAAAAGACAGTCTTTTCAACAAATGGTGGTGGGAAAACTGGATATCCACATGCAAAAAATGAGGTTGGACCCTTACCTAACACGACATAAAAAACTTAAACCAAAATGGGTCAAAGACCTAAATGTTACACATAAAATCATGAAAACTCACAAGGGAATACAGGGCAAAAGCTTCCTGATATTGAATCTGGCAATGGCTTCTTGGATATGACAGTAAAGGCACAGAGAGGCAGCAAAAGAAATGGACAAACTGGACTTCATGAAAACTTAAGTTTTGTGCATCAAAAAAAGTATCCAGTGAAAAGACAATCCATGGAATGGGGAAAAATATTGGCAAATCATTTATCTGATAAGGGATTAACATCCAAGTATATACAGCCAACTCCTAAACTGAAAAAGAACCAATTAGATTTAAAAAATGGGCAGAGGACTTGAATAAACATTTTCCCAAAAACATACAAATAGACAATAAACATAGAAAAGATATCAACCTCACAAATCAAATGCAAATAGAAACTACAATCGGATTCCAGCTCATTCTTTAGGATGGCAAAAAAACAAAAAAAAAAACCCTCCCCAAAAAAACAACCACCCCCCCACCCCAGAATATAGTAAGTGCTGACAAGGACCTAGAGGGACTACCACCCTTGTACACTGTTGGTGGGAATGTAAAATGGTATAGTCATTGTAAAAAATAGTTTGTAGGTTCCTCAAAAAATAAAAATAGAAGAACTTTCCCTATGACCCAGCACTTCCGCTTCTGGGTATAAACTCAAGAAATGAAAGCAGGGTCCCATAGCCATTTCTGTACACTCACATTCACAGCAGTGTTATTCAAAATAGGTAAAACATGAAAACCAGTCCAAGTGCTCACCAGCGGGTGCATGAACAAAATGCGGTGTATACATACAATGGATCATCAGATTAAAAAAAAGAAATTCTTATAATATGCTAAAATATGCATGACTAACAGCCTTGAGGTCATTCTGCTAAGTAAAATAACCCAGTCGCAAAGACACATTGTACGATTCAGTATCAAAGAGACGGAAGGTAAGACGGCTGCCGGGGGCTGGGGAGGGAGGGGAATAGGGAGCCACTGTTTCCTGGGGACACAGTGTCCGTTTTGCAAAACGAAGCATCCTGGAGACAGATGGTGGCGATGGCTGCACAACATTATGGATGTATTAATACCACTCAACTGTGCACCTAAAAATGGTGAAGATGCTAAATTTTATGTCACATGTAAGGAAGAAAACATATTCAAGTATCCAATGAAAGTTACTTTCTATCCAAAAATTTAGGTTTCACCTATTAAAACACACAAACGTCAACACTGAGAAACGTCGAGCGTTTTTTAAAGTGTATATAGAAACAAACAAGACTAACATACCTTTGTTACAGTTGTTCTCACTTTCTGGTTTTTCTACCACAGGCTCTAAGGCAGGTTCTTTGTGCTCGACTTTCTCCTCCACTTTTTCCCTTTCTTTCTTCTCCGACTCCCATTCCTTCTCTTGCTCTTTCGTTTTCTGCAGTTCTAGTTCTTTTTGCTTTTCCTGCTGCCGTTCTAATTCTTTCTCTTTTTCTTGTTTCCTTTCCTTCTCCATTTCTCTCTGTTTTTCCTGCTCTCTCTCCAGTTCTCTCTCTTTCTCCTGTTGCCTTTCCCTCTCCTTCTCTCGCTCCCGTTCTTGTTCTTTTTCCAGTTCTTTCTCCCGCTCCCGCTCCTTTTCCCGCTCTCTCTCTCTGATCTCCTCTGGAGCTGGCTGTCTGTCCACGAGGCCCAGCTTCTCGTCCAGCCGCTTCAGTTTCTCAGCGCAGGCCGCCTTCCTCTGCTCTTCCATCCTCCGCTCCTCCTCTTCGCGCCGCTTACGGGCACGCTCCACCGCGGCAGAGAGTTCCGACTGCTGCCGTCTCCTTTGCTTCCATATTTCGTCTTCATCTGGCACTTGCTGCTTGGCGGGGAACGGGCCTGGTCTCCCAGGTGCTGCCTGGCGGTCCGCGGGAGGGTGCTGAAACATTCAGAGAAATGGCGAGGTGAGACGACAGATCTGTTTCTGACCAACAGTGGGCATCACAGGCGTGGAGAGGAAGAAAACATCTCCACAAAATGCCAGAAGTTTTCCTGATAAACATACATATTAAAGTGCAAATAAGTAAGGAGATGGGGGAAAACTTCCAATCTAGACTGATTCCCCAAACTAAAACTGGAATAATTAATCCAGCCATCTAATATTTACTTAGTTTTCACCTATGTATTGTGTCGGGCATGATGCTATTTGTTGAGTAAAACTGGAAGCTGCCACAACGTGACTTAAACTCTAAATTTAGAGAAAAAGGACATTTAGCACGTGAGTGTTTTAGCAGCCACTGCCGGAGGTGGGGTGCCTCGAGAAAACAGAGGGGTTCCAGGGAAAGGGTGGCCACCACAGGCGCTGAGCGGGAGGGAGGACACGCTGCCGCTGACACTCGGGGGCCCTTGGAAGTCAGCCTGCACAGAGAGCGACAAGTTCCACGCGGAGAGATCAAGGCAGGCCTGTTTAGGCCGAAACCAGAATGAGGGAAGATCACTTGAGAGACTGCGTTTTAATGATTTAATTTTCAATCAATATGTTCTAAGGTCACTGCCAGCAACCATATAAAGACAAGCAGAATGAAAAGAGCTGAAACATTAATTACAAAAATAAATTTTTTAAAAATACTGATTTTAATAGCTACTAAGCATGAAGAAACCTGAAAAGCCATATATCTAGTCAGAGTCCTAGAAAATAATGGTATAGTGAAAACACTGAATAGGAAAGGAGGAAAAAGAAACCCAACAGAAACCTAGGCTATAATTCACACCAAGAGTGGCTTCTTAGGCAAACCACTTATTCTCTCTGGTGCTAGGTTAACTTCATTTACAGCTCAAAGACAAGCTGAAAAAACAAAGTACCCTCACTTATGTAGAAGTACCTGATTTTCACAGTCAACTCAGAGTAAGCAGTTTTTAAAAAGCAACTTTTTGAAGTTTGATTCACACAGAACCTGATACACATACTTTAACTGTACAGTTTGATGGGGCTGGACAAATGACATGTGTGAACAGCACTGCCCCAGTGCTGGGCACAAGTGTGCCCAGCGCCCCTCTGCCTGCACCGAGCCCCTGCGGCCCCGACCCACTCTGGCCGTGTACAGTTCTTCTACCTGTCCTACAATTTCAAGCTATGCTCTCTTCTGTGTCTGGCTTCTCGTGCTCAGGGTGCCGGCCTGAGGTCACTGCGTGTCAATACTGAGCCCCCTCCGACTGCTGGGTCGTGTTCCTTCGCAAGCAGTTCCACCTGTGAATGGACACATGGATAGCTTCTAGTTTTTAAACTAGGAATAAACAGCTATGGGCATGCATGTTGAAGTCTTTGTGTAAATGTATGGTTTCATTCCTCCTGGATAAATATCTAGGAATGGAATTACTGAGTCATATGGCAAGTGTATGTTTCACTTCATGAGAAACTGCCCAAGCACTTTCCCAAGTGGTTGTAAGGTTGGTCAGACCCACAGGGGGTGCATGAGGGTGCCAGCTGCCCTCCGTCCTCACCAACATTTGGTTCATCAGCCCTTTTCATTAGGGATGTGTTGTGGTTTTAATGTGCATTTCCCTGGTGACTACAGACACTGAGCATCTGTTTATGTGCTTATTGGCCATTTGTATATCTTATTGTGGGAAGTGAATATATTCAAATCATTTTGCTGGGCAATTTGTCTTAATACTGAGCTGTAAGGGTCTTTTCTTTAAAATAAATATATCCCAAGTTCTTTGTCGATGTATTAGTAAAAAAAATTTTTGTGACAAATCTTTTGATTGCCTTAAGAGATGTTTTCAAGGTAATCCTAGAAGGCCTCTAAAGTGGTATTATCTGATCAAAGAACTTTGTAATGGGAGAAATCTCAGGAAAACAGCCTTTTAGCCAGGAAACAGCAAATAAAATAACTTGAGGATGATATAAACAACAACAGCAACACGCTTTGTGTGTGGCGAGAATAGAAAAGTAGATGAAATGAGAAGAGTAGACAGAGACCTTTAAGACCATGGAAAAGACCTGAGCAAGGACTGGCTGGCCAGACAAATATTTTGGAAAGACTGTATCTAGTGCAGAGAACCTGGGATGAAGGAGCTGGGTGAGCAGGCAGCAGAAGAGAACAAGGCCCGTTAACCTGCTGCAATGGTGCACACGAGACAGCATGGACTCGGTGTGCAGACGTGTTCTGAGGGCAGAGGTCACCTCACGTGCTCATAGATGAGGCTGGACGTGGGGTCAAAAAGAAAAGTTAAGAGTGACTTCTAGATTTTAACCTGAGCATGTAAGTGAATAATGCCATCATCTCAGGTGGAGAAGACAAGGGAAGAAGCAGGACTCTGGGGCTGTATATATGAGGAAGCGGGGGGTTGTTAAGGTTTGGACACATTAAGTATAAAGTATCTTTCAGAGATCCAAGTGGAGGTGTTGTACTGAAACAGCATTTTCGATCCATGGCCGGGAATCTGTGGATGCAGTCACCTGGATGCATGTCCCATGCCACTGTATGTGAGCAATGCGAGCACCTGTGGACGCTGGCATCTGCCAGGGGCCCTGGAACCAACCCGAACGGATAAAGAAGGACGACTATGGTTAGGCCTTGGGGGAGTCAAAAGTGAAACCTGGATTTTTCAACTGCCGGGGCAGGTTTGGTACCCTAATCCCGGCATTGTTCAAGGGTCAACAGTAGCGAGCGAAAGGAATGGGAACACAGCTCTGAGTCTACCAACACCCAAAGTTCAGCACTGAAGGTCCAGAAGGAATATGAATATGATGTCTCAAAAGTAAGTAAAAAAAGTTTTTAAGAATGATGGAGAGATTAACTATGTCAACTGCTGCTGAGATTAAGTAAAATGAAAATAAGAAAACTGGATTTGGCAAGATGGAGATCATTACAGACCTTGATAATAATAGTTTCAAAGGTGCGGTGGGAGATGTTAATGAGAGACAGTGGTGCGAGAAAGGGAAAAGAGCTCACTGAAGCGACTCTGCCATGAGGGGGGCAGAAGAGCGGTATAAACCGAAGGGGGGTACAGCACAGTGGGCGTTACAGGAGGGCTGGTTTAAAAAATGCTTTAATTTGTGAGACAGTATCAGCAAGTGATAGAAGGTGGAACCCAGGGAAGAGGTGGTGTCCTCGGGAGTAAGGACAACAGGGAGGAAGTCAGATCAGGAAAGACACTAAAATGGGAAAACTAGGTGGTTCTCATTTTCTCAGTGAAACGAAGAATAAGCTAATCAGCTGAGAGCAGAGGGGAAGGATGGCGAGGAAGAAAACACCCCTAAATGCTCCCTACAAGTCACAACTGAAACATACGCAGAATCTTTCCATGATAATAATCGAATACAAGAGAGCATAAACCAGCATGTAGTTAAAATTTACCTGCTGTGCAAGCAACTTTGGAGGTGGTGGCAGATGAGAAGATGGTCCACGTTCCTATGGAGTGTTACAAAAGAATTAGAGAGGAGGTATCTCCTGGAAATATTTCTGCATGTGATTGTTTCAGTGAGACCACAAGATCACAAACGGCAAACCATCATTATCCTTTTCTCGTCTTTAATAAAAATACGCCACTCACTTGCAAGGTAACTTTACATGTCATAAAGTTCTCTGTGAACTCAATGAGGTTAGACTCTCAATTGAACTTTGACAAAAGTAGAATTTTAGTGTATTAAGTTCTGGAAATATGCCTCTAATTTTAAATTTTTATTTATGTAAGTCCAATACTTTTCCTGGACTTTCTAACGGTAAATGAAAACTGAGATTTACCTAAAGAAAAAAAAAATCTGAAATACGTTGGAACCAGATATAATATATGGAATATTCACTCGCTAATATATACATCAATGTCACAAAGAAAAAAATTTAGACATCAAAATATGGTCTACAATATTTCTCTATTCTTATACACACCCACCCACCCCTTCCCCATTATGTTAATAGGTTAAAAATCATACAAAACATGGATTTTATTGAGAAAAAATACTTGAAAAATCCTTTTTCAGAGTTCTCAAACTTATTCCCCAACGGCTACCCAATGCTGTAAGAACAAAATTTAAACCCGCTTGTATAGCACGCAAAACTAACAACTGGTTCTTACGTAGTTCTTTTTCCTGCTCCCGCTGCTTGGAATCACTGGCTTCCCTATGCTCCCTGGCCAATTCGTGCTACAAGTACCATCTTTTCCAAGAGCTTTCCCACAGCACGCTCCGAGAAAGCCCCCGCGCACCCGCTATCACAGCGTGCTGTAGCTGGTGCCTGCCGGCCTCCTTTCCTTCCGGAGAGAACGTCAGCCACCCGCCTTTACCCCTCTAAAGGGAGCGGTTCCTCCGTCTGTTTGCACGAGTTTAACGAATACATGCCAAGTGCACACTATGACTTAAGTGGACTCTCTGGAAGGAAGCCCTTTTTTATTCCCAGTCCTCGGTGCAGCGCTTGCCACACGTCAGAGCTAAGACCGTCTGCTGCCCACGTGCTTATGTCCCTTCTTTAACAGTGTTCTTCAAATGGCTCAGAGTCCACAGACTTCTCTAGTCCCCATGTGTGATCTCCCTACTCAGGCAGAGTCCATTTTCATATGTGAATACTGACTAGGAGGCACAAAATACTCAGTAAACCAAAGCACTTCAGCAATGGTATTTATAGTTTGGCAAAATAATTTATCCCTCCGCTTCAGTATGACTGAGCTGTTACATGAAAAAAAGGTAAAACTTTAGTTTCTACTTGGTAGTTTTTGCTACTATATTAGTAGCTTCTGTTATATGCAGTAAAATTATGGTTTAAATCCAGAGCTAATCAAGAAAAAAAAAATTTATTTTCCCTAAGTCTTTGTCCAACTCTAGGATTATAAGGTTAATTCTCCAGAGCACCTGCAGAGACAAAGATCTAGAGTTCAACAAACCTGATTAAATGGCGGTCCTTTGCTGTAAGGGCCCTTTGCTGCTGATGGCTGGGCAGGTGTCTGAGACGCTGATTTGGTGTTGCACACTTCATCTGCTTCTTTTCGGGGTTCAGTGTTCTCAGAGGCTTTTGAACCTTGATCCTCACTGAATAATCAAAAACCAAGTGAAATACAAAAGTGGACAGATTTTACCATGAGTAAATGCATTTAATAAGTAATTTTTATTACTTATTTTATGTAAAATAAGGTATTATTTCCACATGGTTTCAAGGGAAAAATCAATCAAGGAATGAGATGACTTGGGGACGTAATGGTGCCAATATTTTTACTCAATAATTATTTACCATATATCTACCATGTGGAGGGGACCGGGCTTGGCCAGGTTACCTCCACCAGGTATGAAGTACAGCATGGCAGTTATCAAATATAGGTGCTCACGCCCGACACAAAACCTGACCCAGGGACAGAAATCCCACCATTTTTCTTATCACCCTCAACCAAAATCTCATCTGAATACAACTAAGTAATATTATAGATAATTAATAACTGTACTGATTTAATGAAAAAGATAAATCTAATCACAGTATTTTTCAAAATCACAGGCATCTCACAACTGAGCACAAAACAGCAGTGCATTACAACTCTATGGCTGGACAACTATACCCATGTATGCACACAAGCTTCTGTGTATTTTAAGAGCCCAACTGTTATGCCATACAACCCATGTATTCCTGACTTGGATGACCCTATTATTTCAGGAGAAAGAAAAGAAAAAGCTCCTGTTTTCGAAGACACTGCTTGCTAAGCTTAAAAAAAAATCAAAGACTTGAAGTAGCTGTAATAACCAAAGTAATTTCCCTCCAGCTTTGTAAATATGAATCAGGTGAAACAAGTAACAAGTTTTTAATGGTTCCTTAATACTGTTTTTCAAAATAACTCCAATTAGATGGCAAACATCTGACATCTTTGTTAAAATACTGGATTTTGCCATGTGTAGTGCACACCTATGTTTTTGGGCGCATCAGACACAGGATTATTATGCCTATTATTATACCCACGTGTAATGCGCATCCTTATTTTTCCCTCAAAAATTTGGGTAAAAAGGTGCGCATTGTACACAGCAGACCACGATAGGTATTTTCTTTAGAAACATCAAACTTTAATTCCTTGATTAGCCGTACTTTTAAAATTTAGCTCATTAATCACCTCCCCACTCAATAAAAGTCCATGGAATAGAGTGTAGAACTCCTCTAAATAAGGAACAAATGCCGATCAATGAAGCCTCCCCGATTCGATGGCTGCGGACCGTGTGAGCCGGCAGAGAACCCACCTGCTGTTCTCCTTCGGGCTGCTGCTACCCTGCTCATCGTCGTCGCTGAAATTCAGCTGCTCCGTATAGTCCACTTCCATCTGGGCACCTAGTGAATTAGGGCACGCTCAGAATGACTGTTTCAAGGCATGTAAAAAATAAAAGTACTTAATTTTGCCTCTTACCTGCCCAACCTTCATCAGCTTCAGCATCTAGGTTATCAAATTTATCCAGCTCCTTCAATTCGGACGCACTAAGGATGGAGGGGCGCTCAGGCTCAGAGGCCCAGGAGGGAGGGGGACCTCTTCCTCGAAGGCCTCTAATAAACAAGAGGTTAGAAGAGGGAAAGGATACAAAGTTTTAATAATACTAAATTAAAAAAATTAAAAGACTGGAATTCAGCTCATTTCAACAATGTTTTCTACACAATATACAAAATATTTAACCCCAACGTGTGTAGGAAGAAATTACATAAACTTAGGACAATACATAATTCTTATGCAACTATTTAATAGAAGACAAGGTTTTTGAATTGTCAAAAATTTAAAATAAAACAAATATATATTAAGGAATCATATGGCTGAAATACTAATCTCAAAATACAGAATTTTAAGAAAAAAAAACCATTCAGGAGGATGCTCAAGCATTTTAGGACCATAATTTTCAGTTTTCAGAATTTTATGTAAGATCGTTTAAAGATTTAGAAGAATAAAGTATTTTTGTTGTTGTTTAAAAGCTTGCCAAGTGTGGCAACAGTATTTGGATTCATTTTTTTATATCTTCAATCATCACAATCCACTCAACCTCCAGAAAATGTTAATGAACATATATATGTCTTGTAGACTTTATTCACGTAGTAGTCTTACTTGTTTGTTTCAGACAGAGAAGGTGGGAACCGCAGGGGACCATGAAGAGGGGGATACGCCATCCTTGGATACTGCTGAAACATCTAAATGTGGGGAACAAACAGTGATAAATTTAGCATCCCAGTTATTTAAAGAAATGACCACCCAGAGTCTGAAATTATAACTTCTATGAATAATTAATTTTATCTGCTGGTATAGATGCCATTCACCCTCAGTAACAAGCCATTTGTAGGATTACTGCCTCCAGCAAGTCTTTATAAGACTAATAACTAGCACATCATATAGGAAGAACTCGTTCTCTCATTAACTAAATCACATAAACATGCTCGTGTACTGTTGCGAAAAACTAAAAAAGATAATATGCATGTACCCCAGAAAACAGCAAAGCCTTAACCAAGCCTGAATACCTGAAAGAAGTAGCGTTGAGACTTTATCCTAATGCAAGAGTGTATTAACTGAAGGCAGATTTGCTGATAAGAGAAACTCAGCTCAGATAAAAAATAAGGGAGTCCATAAGCCAAGGGAATGCGGAGGTGGGTGGGGAGTGACTTGGAGATTTGCTATGCAGAGCCCACGTGCGCGCTGCGTCAAGTTACTACGCAGTAATAAAATGAGGCACAAACATGATGCTCTCCCTGAGAACTGGGCTTTGACAAGCTAAGTTTAGGAGTTGTAAGATAGATTTTAAAGAGAAATAAAACATCAAAGGATTCACTCATCCTATGACCTGGAGGGGGAGAAATGTCAAGGAGTCCTTGGCTACTTACTATATATAATCCTGCTTATATCCAGGTCAAATTATGTTAAAAAAAATACAGACATACAAGGTTGGCCAAAAAGTCTGTTATGTTTTTTCCATAAAATAAAAGACATATCTTTCATTTTCCCCAGTAACTTCACTGATTTGGATGTTTTGAGTATGTCGGCCATCTCCCGCTGCCGGCCTCTAGTGGGGAGAGGCCGGGAGGCTGCCAAACACCCTCCAGTGCCTGAGACAGCCCCACGGCAGAGTTAGTTGGCCAAAAGGTCAACAGTACCAAGAAACTCTGCAAACCCCTTTTGATACGTTCATCACAGCTCCTTCTCTGTATACTGCACAAATCGTTTTTGGTTCAGTTGTGTTTTTGCCTTTCTCAAAATAATAAAGCATAATATGCTGAAAATGCTGCGTTATTTTCTTCCATCTTCAATATTAAAATGGCTGCACAAAATTCCACCAATTTTGGTAAGTTTTTTTTAAACGCACGCCGGTATGACAGCTGTCACAATACAATCTAACAAAATTGTTTTGAATGAAGTTAAAGACAACTAAGGACTACCAGAGCCATCGTATGGGAAAAACTAAACCAACATTTCGGCCAATCCAATATATGAAATTGTATTACCTTCAATACAAAATTTATATCCTGAAATAGATTACTTTTTCTTAAAAGAAGGAAAAAAAGCAGCTGTTCAACGAGGAAGTCACATCACACTCGAAAGGCTGCGCGTGTGTGATGAAGCTGTCGAAGGAGCTTTCTCAGCAGAATCAGAGCAAGCGGTTAAGCTGAGCAGCACAGGAGAGGCAACTGGGAAAGCCTCTGCCGGGGTGGTTGGGGGCACCGGGAGGTGTGTCACGCCTCCGCACCGAGCCAGTGCACCTGCGCAGGTAGCTGCTCGCTGGTGGGACTGCACTGTATCCTGCAGATTATCCAGGTTAATTTTGTGAGGTATTAAATGTTCAAAATTTTAAAATTTGCCACAAAATTAACTGTAGAAACAATCTTTAAATTCTCAATATATGGTGGTGGTTTTCAAAACATTTTTATTATTGCTAATTAGTAGAGCATCTTTATTCAAATAAAATCACTGCTGAAACTGGGGACAAAGCCCACTTGGTCTCCCCTCTTACTTCCCCTTATCCCATCCTACCCCCATCCCTACATGTTCCAGGGTCTGTGGAAGCACAAGTTTAAAATGAGCCAAGTACTTGGGCATAAATTATTTTTCAAGGACAGGTTAGCATATGACTGATTTTTATCACACTCCCAATTTTTTTAAAGAAAATAATTACAATTGTTTTTTAATCATTTAGTTCCCTCCTCTACACTAGAATGGCTAAGTAAAAATAATTCAAAGTACAGAAAGTATGAAAAAAATAAAATATGATATTTAAAGCTCAAATACTCAGAAGTTAAATTATTAAAAAAAATAACCATAGGAACTGTGAGATTAATGGCCTCCTAAAAAAAGTGTAAAAATAATTTGTAAATTTATTTACATGGGCACGTGTAACTTGCCATACTTTCACAGTAGGCTGGGAGACAACAAATGAATGAGGGCATCAAATCTAACTACTAATTTATAGAAAATGTAACGGTCAGAAATGTATATTAAAATGAGACTACAAAGATTGAAATCAGCATAATTCAGACTGAGAAACTCCACAGAATAAAAGTAAATTTTAACAGATAAGGTCCAAAGAAAAATAAGAGTTGGAGGGAAAGAAGCACCCACAGGTAACAACATTCCTAAGAGAAATATGAACCAATCTCAAGGAACAGATATTATCTGGGTCCTAATTATGAGACAATCAAGGAAATTCAAATACTGACTTGATGTTTTTAAAAACCATTTCTTTTCAGGTATGATAATGACATTGTGAATTCTTCCCTTAGTTTTTATCTTTAAAAGATAACAACATAAGGTCCTAGCTGGGTAGCTTGGTTGGTTAGTGTCATCCTGATGCACCAAGTTTGTGGGGTCAATTCCTAGTCAGAGCACATACAAGAATCAACCAATGATGCATAAATAAGTGGAACAGCAAATCAATATTCCTCTCTCCCTCTAAGCCACCTCCTTCCTCTCTCAAAATCAGTAAGTAAAACTAATTAAAAAATATATATATATATATTTACATGAAAGAGGGTAGTTAGGAGCTGCTTTAATAATCCGAGATGGAGGGAAAGAGACAAGGTTGACCACAAATGGATTAACTGTTAAAGATAGATGACAGACATGGGGAAGAAAGAGGTTCACTGTACTATTTATTATTTCTTTCTGCACGTTTGAAATATTCCATAATGGAAAGCTAAACAATTAAAGGTATACCAATAAAAACTTCAGAACTAAAACAGTTATAAAACTTCTCTGTGCCATAAACAACGCCTTTGGTAGTCTGATAATACCCATGATCCCCATTTATGGTAAAAGCACAGGTACTGTGATGTGTCCTATATTCAAAAATCAAAGAAAATGCCTATTTTTATTAGATGTCAAGGAAAATAAAGACCTAAACTTTTTCCCCTTCCAATTCTCTTCTCTGACCCCGGATCAAAAAGCTCTTATTTAAGCGCTTGCTTCTTCAGCCAGACTCACGTAAGGAGGCATCATGGCTCGGTACTGGGCAGCGAGGGCAGGCTGCTGCCCGTTCAGCTTCGCCTGCGGAGGACCACAGGCTATCCTCTTTTCCACCACTTTGAGGATGTCATTTTGCTCTGATGACCCGGCTGTGCTTTCTTCCTGGCCAGGGAGCTTTTCATCTTGGTCAGATGTTGAGGATGAGCCAGCAGACTTACCACCGTCTCTCCAACAAGCAACATCTGGTATAGAGAGAGATAAGAAAGGAGTAAGAAAAAAACCCTGAAAATGTAACAGAGTGGAACCAAACTAGGCACAGTTCAAGAAAACTCGAGCCAGCAACAACAAAGCACAGCGAAGGAGCAGGGGACGCCCACCTGAACCTCAGCACACGTCGCCCCACCCAGACACTGGGCTGGGGACGAAAGCACCGCGCTTCTCTGTGGAACGCTACCACCATCTGCCCGGGAGCTACCACCAGTCACACCGGCGTGTCCTGAGGGAAGGGGGCTCTACCGCCTGGGGGGTGGGGAGCAGTGCTCTTCCTTTCTTTTCAGTCTACGGTTGCTAGTTACACGGGCCCACGTGAGCAGACTCCGTGACTGTATCATCTGGTGTCACTGCATTTAGCCCAAGGAGACCGGGAGCTGGCTTTACGAGGAAACCCCGTTTGGTAGGTATGCCTGCAGGACGGCCCAAAGGGTCTCTGCCACCTGGTATTCACACCCTGTGTGCCACCCTCTCACAGTGTACCAGGCCTGGTCTGTGTAACCTGCAGAACAAAACAGAAGTGATGGCATGGTCTCTTCTGCGACTAGTTGTAGAAGACTGTGGCCTTCCATCTGAGGTGGGAGATGTCTGTCTGTCGCTCCTTTTCCTGGGGAAGCCATGTTGAGAGCAGCCACGTACACACAGAGCCACCACGAGTAAGCTTGGGACAGGAGCCCCACAAGCCGGCCTCAGAGGACAACTCTGTTGGGAGGTCCCGAGCCAGAGCCCCCAGCTAAGCGGCCTCCGTATTCCTGACCCTCAGATAGTGTGTGAAACCACAAATTCATTTCTTCTTTGAAGCTGACAAATTTATTTTGCAGCAACTGATAACTGATGAAGATCAAATGAAAACAAAACAGTAGAGCTTATACATCTATTCCTAATAAAAACACATCAACATTACAGCAATTAAAAAATAAAAGATGATTTACCCAGACCTGAGCCCGAATGAGCCCAAATGAAATGAGCCCAAAGAAATATGAAACATCATCAGGTTATCAGAAATAATGGACTCATAACCATTACTGTAAAGAAGAACTTCCCCCTGTATACAAGTCCTTTGAGATACTTGGTAATTACAATATGACACTTGTAAAATGAATAAGCTTTAAAGAAATCTCTCAAAGACTTTATATTCTACTTTCAGTTTTTGCTTTGTAATGGACAAAATACAAGTATCTCTCACTATCCAAACTGATACGGTGCCTAGCTCTGAGTTCGGAAAATAAGAGATCTCTGAATATTAAGAGTAGCAAACAAATGGATATAATTTATAAATAAGTATCTGCACACTGGAAAGGTTTGTCCTACATATTTCACTACTGTAAAAGTGACCAAACATTAACGGGCAAGTAAGTCACCCAGGCATCTTGTTCAGAAGCACACTTCCAACAAGTTCTCAAGCTGGGCTGATGCTATGCTATCCACACAGGAGCCACACTTGAGTGGCAAGTGACTAGCTCCTACCTGCCTTTTAAAAGCAGGCAAGTCTCACACACGGCACGAGCAGGCAGGAATCACAGGCTGTAGCACACATACAATCTCCTGTTGTGTTTTTATTAATCAGAAAATACTCTTACTTGGTGGGCGTAAACTGGGTCCAGGGCCGTAGTTGTCATCGTTTGCTTCTTTTTCTTTTTTTTCCTGATCCCCAGCTGCCTGCAGGCTGGGAAATTCTTGCTGAAAATGACTATTCACCTGGATTCCTACAGATTAAAAAAAAAAATTAAAAAAAAATTAAATGTAACTTTTATACCAAAGATAATTAAAAAACCCTCCCTGGATACAGCTCTCTGCCTTGTTCTGATAAATTATTCCACATTTCAATGATGACTATTCATATCCATAAAACTTAATTATTTAGGTTTAGAATCCCTTGGAAAGTTAATGAACAGCCATGAGGAGATAAAAATCTAAGAAAGGAACCTGCCAGACACTGTCCCAGAGGACTTATTAAGATGGTCTTTCTTTCTCATTTATTTCTGTAAAAGTCAAATTCCTCTGCTAATACCTCTAAGAATCGGTTCAAATTGTATCACTGAACTAGAGTTTATGAGCAAACACCACTAGTACCACGATGAGGCTAAAATTCCTTCATTAAATTGACTAACTTCATTTAATTTACTGCCGAGATACTGGTTGTACCTCACTGCTCACCCACCTACCTGCCTGCATATTAATTTTTCTACTTCTATAAATTAAAAGAGATGATTTTATTTTATAAAATAAAATTTTTCATTTTACTCAGGGCCTTGATGGGTTCTCCCCACACGGTGTTTTATAGCCATTTCCTGTTCTGCAAGCAGAAACTTTTCTGCCAGCGAGCCCGCCGTTCGGCAGCGGGGCAGGGGGTCAGTGTTCCCGCCACTGTGCTTTCCGCCTTCTTCCCAACTCTTCTCCCCCAGGGAAGTCGTGAGCAGCATTTAAAACAGAGCGGTGAGGGGCACAGATGGAGATGAGGTGGTTTCTAGCAATCTATGCAAGGCCCAGGTACGCAGGTCTCAAAAAGTTGAAAGTACAAGGTTTTACGTAGTCATGCAGGGTAAAGGTAAAATAATGGGGGACAGAGAGCATCTTAAATACTTTTTAAATCCTAATCATTACTATTAGGGCACACGTGGCTCTTGATACAGACACTCAGCTAGCCCGAGCGACTTCGGGGAGCCCTTGCAGGGCCCGCGTATACCCAGTGAGGGCGTCCTCCAGCCCTGCCAGCGCGCTGCAGCGCCGCATCTCCTGCATGGCTGCTCAGTAACCACCGAGCCGGACCAGGTGCCCCAGCTAAGGTCCACTTACCATCTCCTTGCCCACCTTGCTTGTTACTGGCCCATGATTTTGGAGCAGGTGCTACTTCTGGGGGAGCTGCAACCCCAGGTTTTGGCTGTGCTGGTGGAACTTCTGGTGTTCTTGAAAAAAATATGAATCCATTATTTCAAATATTATATGTTTAAGTAAAACAAATGGAATACTGTACTTTTAAGGTGAGTTTCTGCACACATTACTCTGGCTACACAGTCACTCATACACACAGCCTCTACAGAGGCTTGCCCTCAGCAACATCCATTTAAATGAAGTGCAGCAGTTTCTGTCCGCTTTCACGTCTACCTTTGAATCAATAACCCAAGGAGACAACTGCTATTTACTTTTCACTTTGTAAAGAAAGAAACACTCATTGCTGTACAAAGCTCCCAGAACCGTTCTGAAGAAGTGAGCGCTCCTAACGAAACGAGGAGCAGCAGCAGGGGCCCAGGCCCCAGGCCCCGACAGAGGGACAGACAGAGCGGCCTCAGGGCACGGCTGGGCGTGCTCTGGTCTGCAGCCAGCAGCCGGCCCGGTGCGCCCCAAGTAAACAGTGTTTTAAAAGGGGCCTACAGTTTTATTCAATCCTTGTAATGAGTTAATGCTTATGAATGAAAAAGGTGGCTAAGAGTCTTAATACAGTCTATTTCCGGTATACTGACTCACTATTACAATATAATTCTACAACAACAAGAAGCAGAGGTCAGTCGGTCTTTGACAAGCTTTTCTTTAGTAGTCAGTTTTTCTATATTGAGCTCCCCAAACAGGAGTACAAAAAATGTGATAACAGATGGAGGCAAAAAGCACCAAGTACCCAAATGCTTATTTTTTTTAAATTACCACTCCTTAACTTGGTCATTCAATAAACTAAGAGCCCTGCATAGCCCTTGACATATGGAATGTTAAGTATTTGTTGACAGGATGTTAAATATTTGTTGAATGATGATTAATAAGGACATTTTAATTCTATCCTGGCTTTCTTGTTACTTCTTTATCCACTGAAATAATATTACCTGAGCACCTACGAGATGCATCAGACAGAGTTTCAGGGAGCCAGAAATTCCTAGCATACAGGGGTGCCCAACCTTTTTGGCATTTCTGGGCCACACATTAAATACATTGTGACATGTAATCACAAAAAAAAAAATCTCATAATGTTTTAAGTAAATTGGTGACTTTGTGTTGCGCCACAGGCGGCCCGCAGGTTGAACACCCCTGGAAGAACCCACTTCTAGTCATATTAGAACAGGCCTGATGGTGGGAGTGAGAGGGAGGACCTGACCAAGCATATATGAAATGAGCAACTGTCACTGCTGTGCCCTGAACGGGGAAATACTGCCACTATCTCCACTCATGGGGAAAAGGAATCGAAAGTTGTCCGTGGAAGACTTTTAACAGGTGTGAGATACGTAACACATGCAGCGCAACACCTAGCACGGAAAAGGGACTCGAAGTCCCCTGCAAAGAAAGGCGGTCAGTTTTGTTCTCCAGGAGAGGCTGACTTACTTTTCTTCTTCATGCTGCTCTTGTTTTGACGCCCATCCTGTGCCATCTTTAGGTACAATGTTCACATTAGGATCATTGCCTTTGTTTTCCGCTTTGAGACTTGGGAGGTTAGCGGGCGGAGGCATGCGCCGTGAAATACCAACTTTTCCAAGACTCTGTAATCCATGTCGAGCTGCAACTAAAGATCAATAACATCAACTTTCTTAGAACATCTAATTACCCACTTTATTCTTAAAACAGTATAGAAACAGGAACTAGTAAAATCTGAAACTATTATTTTCTATATTTTAAAGTAAGAATCTTTAAGCCAGACACCTGCAACAGTATCTAATGCAGAAATTATATTTAAAATAAACTATCAAGGACTGACCAAATGCTGTAAAAATTCTAACAATAGACCCTATACACTATAAAAAGATAAACACTGACAATGCCGTTTTGTAATTTTTTTTCAGGGACTCTATTTCAAACTTAAAAATTGGTACGTTAAAGAATAAATATGCTGACTTTATGTGCATAATGAACACTGCTGATGTAACATGTGGTCCAGTTTTCACTGTAAACTGGGTTCAAGGCATCAAAAAGCAAAACAACACACCACAGGGCTCTCCCTAGTCCGTAACTTGAAGTGGAAACAAATGCCCACTAATATATAGCTCTAGGCCTACTGATCTCATTGACCTGAGTTTCTCCTTTGGAACCCCACAGCTGTACTGATGACAAACAAGGAAAAAGAATCATATTTATGGATTTTTAATTGTAAGATATTTACTTTATTCTCCCTGAAAAGTGTTGCACACATTAAGGCCAATGTAAATAAGTATTAACCTAGGTTTGTCCCAGTTCCTAACAGCAATAGCTCCAGCGTACCATTTCTAGTAACAAAAGCACAAAAAACATAAAAATGTGAATGCCACTTGCTTTCACTCACCTGTGGTTTTCTGAGTTTCTAGTGATTTGCCCTTGTAAGTATTAAATAAACTGAGAGTCGCATACTTTTTCCCATCCTTTGCTTTTGTGCTCTGGCCTGACTTCTCCGACATTTCGGTGGAAACTCATCGAGTCTGAAACCTCCTGCCACGCTCCTTAAAACCAGTCTTTAAGATGCACATAAAAAAGAAAAATAAGAAAAAAATTTAAAATTAACTTGCTAAATACTCCTAAAATTCCAATGTTTGCAGAAATTCTGAAAAGCAAAAACAATGAAAAAATGAAATCAATCTTCAATCACCCACGTCAAGAATAGTTCACAGATGAGCTCTCAGCCTATTTTCCAACCTAGTCAAGTGTGCACACGTGTTAACCCAGGGCTGGCGGGCGGGTGGGGCTGGGGTGGAGCAGGGCTCAAGGTGGTGACTTCTACCAAGAAGCCAGAGCCGGCTGAGGTGCAGGAGTTACAGGTGGGGTGGAACAGCAACACCCTGCCAAAGGCCCTCAGAGTCAAGGAGCCCCTGCGTAGGCCCTAACGACGTGAAGACCGCGCTGTTTGTCTCCTGCAGGGTCAGCATCAAACGCAGGTGCCGTTTTACGTGCACATCAGCCGCCACACTCAGTAGTTGTGTAGTCCCACTTAATTCATCAACAATTTTCACATTATCTCATTGCAGCCTAGTAACCTTACTATATAGTTAGCATCCTGATTTGACAGATGAGAAGACCAATGCTGAGTGGTAACTGAGACTGGATTCAAAAATCAAGGCTTCTGGGTCAGTCCATTACAGCAGGCCATCGCCTCATGTAACCAGGTAACCACCTAGCTTTCCAAGTACACGTTTTCTATAAACTACTTGTTCTTGAGACAAATTGTGAAAAACCTCATCTGCAACTGCTTGCTGTCGTATGTGGAAGAATGCAATTAATTACACCCCAAGGGTGCTAATGACAGCGGCGTGAAGGGAGCTCTACTCCCAGGATCTATCCTTGTTGACAGGTATTCACCAACACTACGGACAAAAATATAGGGAGATTATTCAACCACAGTGTATATTCACTAGTTGAGGTGCGGTGGAAAACTGTCAACTTGTCCTTTCACCCACACCTGATGGCAAGTTAACACCAAGAATCTTCCCACTTCTCAGCACCACCACATCGCCTATGCAACACTCTTAGTGGGGAGCCTCATGGGCCTATAAGCCCACCTGGACCTATTCTCACCTTTCCCAATGGTCTCCCTTCCTCCGCCGGTGTTTACAGTGGTCCTCAGTATCACCCAGAAACTTGTTAGAGATGCCGATTCTCAGGCCTGTCCTGGACCCGCTGAATCAGACACCAAGGACGGAGCCCAGCACTCTGTGTTCTACTGGTCTTTACCAAGTCATCCAGGTGACTCTGTGACACAGAAAAGCTCGGGGCCACTGACTTACTGCAAGCAGATACGTGCTAAGCAGTGGTCCTCACTGATCCTCGCCGCACATGAAAACCACCAGCGGACTTCAAATACAGGAGAGTCTGGGGCACCGGGGTGGCCAGTCCTTCCTCCCAGACAGCGGGTGCCCCCTCTCCTGGCTTCCTTTCTCATTCTAAACTCTTCTCCGCGGGGAGCCACGTGCACTCCTATGGCTTCAACTACCAACTGGTCTTCCAAAGTGAGTACCTCCAGCCCAGAACTCCGTGCTCCTGACGAACTTCTCACACTATTTACCTTTCTTCATTGTGAATACAGTTTCAACTTTACTTAGAACACAAGCACCTAATTTATATAAAGGATTTCAGAAGCAAGACGACCAAATATTTGACACAGCATGACAGGAAAATGGTAGTTAAAAATTTAAAACAATGGTCAACAGACAAACTTTCTCAACATTTGACAAAAAGTGAATGCTGTATAAGAAAGAACTCAGCAAAATGAAGAAAACCAAAAAGCAATGCTATGAACAGACAATTCACTAGAGCAATACCAATATGCAAATGTTGTAAAAATATTCAATTTTCTAAGTACACAAAAATTAAAATAAGGTAGGGAGTTCAGTTTGTCTTCAGCTCACACAAGGAAAAAAATATTACAATATTACACCACTGAACCATAGGTTGACAGAATATCTAATCAATTCTAGCCATCACAAAACATTAGGGCTTAGAATCATAAAATGAACCTTAATTTTCCTGTTTAAAAGCAAAGCAAACCAGAAATTTTCCTATAGATTATAAAAAATTTCTGAACACACAAAAAGAACAAGCAACTGAGCCACAGAATACGGCTTCTACATCAGGTCAAAGCCGAAGTTCCTGCAAATATATTATGAAATTTATATGAGTAGTTCTTTTCAAAGTTCAAAATTCTGTGAAGTTTCTCCTTCCACTATTAAGCTACTGTCTATAATATGCCCTTCCATGTTTTCATATGCTTATGAGTCCTTGTTTTTATGTTTACCAGAAAAAGTATATCATAAATACATATGACTTAAGTTACTGTTAAGTGAAATCAAAATTAACAAAACTAGAAAGACAAGCCTATCACTTAACATACCCCACTATATGCTATAAAAAATATGCATTTCTGAAGAGTAAGAACTTGTAGCCATAGACTGGACTGAGTAAATCAGGAAGTCCAATTACACTATAATGGTTTGCCCATCAAGAGTGGGCACTTTTAGTGTAAAGTCAAAGTTTAAGGTGCCTACCACCTTTTTGGGCGTTTTGCTCCTGAAAGTCTTGGGAGACACCCTGAAACACCCAATTAGGTTGAAATTTCATTCAACATACACTTGAGAGAAAAGCCAGGGACTAGCTCAAATATTAGAATTATTTTACCGAGTGTAAAACCACACTAAATAAAGTTACGTATTTTTAAAAAAAGATTCCTTTTAGGACACAGCGTCAAAAGATTCCAACCCATCCAGAATAAGAACCATCAAGACTTAGATTCACTTTGTATAATTTACTTAAATATATTATTAAAAATATAATTCCTCTTTGGATGCTGAAAACAAGTCAAAAGATCACGGACCCACGACACGGAAGGGCAGCGATAACCGACGGACCAGGGCGGCGAGGCAAGCCCCTGGGGCCCCGGTGCCAGTGCCGAGCAGGAGCTCCGGGGCGGGCTGGCGGGCTCCGCAGGCTCAACTGCCGCTGGGTTCCTCCTGGTCCAAGACAGGTTTGTTTTCCATTTTCAGTGGATTCACTCCTACATTTGTAGCTGTGTCTATTGGTTAACTTTGTAGCCACAAGAATCTTAAACTGCTTTCCTATCAACAACACCAGGAACAAAAACACCATTTGTTGGTTTCTTACTGATTGACATTTTCTGCTTCACTATTATTAGCTCTATTATTACACTGTTTCTCATTTTTCCTCATCAGGACTGCTGATGTCTGCAATATCAAATCTTAACCAAGCTGTGTGCCTCTCTTCCACCCTCTTCCTTCGTACAAAGAAAAAAAAACCACTGCCCCACGTCTCCCATACTCTTAATATGCTGCTACTTCGCTTCCGGTATCTCCGGTTGGCCATCAGTTGGGGGGGGGGGGGCGCCCTGGTGTGGAGGTGGGTGTGTGGAGTGCAGGGCAGGGAGTGGTTCGCCACGGCCAGCCATTCTTAGATTCTCTGGCCAACCAGCTGGGTGCCCCACAACCGAACTCAATTCTGACACTCTACCTGGAGATGGCATCAAGTCCCACAGGTTAACAAGGGCTCAGTCCCACAGATCATCGCTACCACCACCTCTGCCACCACGACTTCGGATGCCATTTGAAAGCCCAGGGTGTTACTTGGGCTTCTGAAAGGCTGGCTCTAAACCCGAGGTTTGAATAATTTAGTAGAGCATTGCACAGAACTCAGGGGAACAACGCATTTACTGGAGTACTGGTTTATTACAAAGATGTTAAAGGATACAGGCAGACAGAGAGACGTACAGGGAGGGGGAGACCCAGAAGGGCCCTGAGCACAGGAGTCTGCGGCTCCACCTCCAGGAAGCCCCCTCGCCAATGGAGTTCAGGGATTTTTGGAGTACTACCGATTAAATCCCCGACCAGGTGCCAGGAGTCCAACCCCTAGTTCCTCTCCCCTCCATGGAGGAAGGTGAGGCCTCTCTAAGGAAAAGGCTGTCCTGGCTCAGTGGTTTGAGCACCAGCCTGAGAACCGAAGGTCGCAGGTTTGATTCCCAGTCAGGGCACATGCCCGGGTTGTGGGCTGGGTCCCCAGTTGGGGGTGTGTGAGAGACAACCAAACGACGTTTTTCTTGCACATGTTTCTCTCCCTCTCTTCCCCTGGAAGCAATGGGGAACCATTAGATTCTGAGCAGAGAGCTGTGCCTGTGGTTCCAGAAGTATCCTTCTGACCACTAGGTGGAGAATGGATTCGAGGGCCAAGAGTGGAGTGCAGGCATCACAGATTGCAGCAGCCTCGGCTCAGGTGCTGTCGCTGTGGTTGAAAAATGGAGCCTCGATACAGGGTCACCATGGACCTTCTGCATACCTTCACAGTTGCGTGCATGTATGGCGATGCCGCTTCCTTTTGGAACTGCATGGGAACCTAACCTACGCAAAGAAATGCTGTCTCTAGCGGATGACAAATCTCTCCCACGTGCTCTTGCCCTTGGGTCCTAAAGCCTTAATGAGAGCAGTGCCCTCCTATGGCCTGCTGGAGTAATCGCCGCATCCTCCAGAATACAAGTGCACACGGCGACCCTCCACGGCTGACACAGGAGGAACACAGCACCCCCGCACTGCTTCACTGACAACAGTCATTTGTCAATATTCATACAACAGATTGTGTGGAAAACTAATAAACAGTCAGATACCACTCCAAATGTTAGGGTGTATCATGAAAAGACAGGTGATGACCCTGTCTTCATGGAACTTTTAACAAACAATAAATAAGTCAACAAAAATACGGGGATGGACCACCTCACTGGGTAAAGGGGAGCAAAGGGGAAGGAGAAGCTGAATGGGATGGAAAAACCCCAGCTGCAGAGACTTCTGCAGGAGCCCTTCAGGAGGCACTCCAGCCTGGGCCTCGCGCCAGGCCAATTAAATCAGGATTTCTGGGCTGTGCCGGCACTGGCGTTCTTTGAAAGGCTCCCTCCAAGGCTCTCCTCCAGCACAGACACAGCTGAGAACCACTGAAAAAACAAACCAGTTTTGGTTGGGAAGAAGGA